GGAGAATGAGGATATATACCGTCTCATTGAACAAGTATCTCCGTATAGTAGATACCAAGAATCCAGCTCTTTAATTCGCCTCTACGTACAGCCTGCCATCGCGCAACCGACACTCATTTGCTTAATTTGTATTACGCTCGCTTATCAAAATGCTTTCCAGTCATTTCCCTGCCATTCTTTTGGCGCTGGGCTCCATTGTGACCCTAGTATGTTGCCCCAAGACAAAAGATCTCCATCCTCGACCGGGCAATCATCTTACTAAACTAATCCTGCGCGATAGATCTCTGGCCAACCTGTCCGACCATTCGCTGTAAGTATTTCGGCAAGCATTTGCTTTAGAACCAATTGACTGATTCCCATGCAGGGAAACCGTGCTTACGCCGTTGATGCCGAAGCTGATGAGACTGGCAACCGATGGGCTTTCTCTGTTTACGCGGACGGCTACACTGCTCGGGATGAGGAGGGCAACATCTCACCTGTTGATACTCTGCTCGTTAACAAGGTGTCCAAGCGCTTGACTGTCATTAAGGCCATGAACGGATTCGACACCACCACGCCCCGCCTCAAGATGCGACATGTTCTCAAGGAATGCTGGAAGATGACTGGCCTTCAGCCCTCAGAGCTGAAGGAGGTCTTGGGCTACCAGATTGAGAACGACGACATGAACAAAGCCCTGGGCGAGTGCCGTACCAAGATTGGCCTGAGACCTACTGCATCCTTCGAGATTTCCAGCAAAGAGACGAACGCAAACCGCAAGTGGTGCTGGGAGAGACTCGGAACGACGATCTTCTCTTCGGCAATCAGAGGTTCGATTGCGGACTTTTCTATCAACAAGCAGCTTATCCAGATCAAGGTCGACAATGGTGGAAAGTGGGATCACGTCTACTACGAGTTCTCGTAAATATCTCAAGGTGTTTTCGAGGGGTCTACTGCATCGGGTTCTCAGCGAAGGTGACAGCTAGAGTGTTGGCCTGCTGGTGTCCATGTAGCTGTTGAGGGGAATAATTCAATGTTAATAAACCTGCTATTAGAACACCATATCAAGGTCACAAGTAGTTGTTTTGACTTTCGCAAGCTTGATTAAGCTCTGTTCGTCTGTCCGTGCAGGGAGATAAGTTCTGCCCTGTGATGTTGACGCTGAGGCCAGGCCTATTCCAGCTCAGGGCTGATGCTGGGGTTCTGAGATTACAGTTTCTGGGTTACTCTATCAAAGCAAACGCTCGGTGCTGCACTTGATACGCTCTCGCATCGCTTTTGATATTTCTAATATTGACCGGGAAGTCCTGCGGTGTCATCTCAGGCCAGCCGAATACTAACACCATTCTTGTAGGCAAGCTTTTGGGGTTCCCAAACGTTCACCTATTGTTACCCAAGCTGCAACAAAAAGCAGAATCCTGAAAGCTTTGACATCTGCCTTCTCACCAAAGCCACGATCAAGCGCATTCTCTACCACATCATAATCCACGAAGCCGAGATTCTCCACTCTCTCTCTAGTCAGGGTATTTAGAAGCATGTTGTGAAGCGGACCGCCCCTAGGCCACTTGATAGGGGCCGTGAACGGATGCTTTTGCCGCTCATACAACTCCTTGAGAATGAATGGTTTAGCTGCCTCTCGAAGGATCCACTTCTCGGTCAAGGCCTGTGACGCGATGCCGATACCTTCCCACCAAGGACCTTGGTGTCGCTCAGGGGGTATCTTATCGGGTGTGTAAGCCATCTTGAGACTTGGCGGTAAGTTGTTGACGTATTCTGTTAGCTTGTGGTCGAGGAATGGTGTTCTGGCCTCTACACTATGTGACATCTCGGTCAAGTCACCGAGACAGCTTAGCAGGATATTCGGTAGCGGGCCCTTGCTGTATATGTACTGGGCTGTATGTAGCGGGTGCCACTTCCTCTGCATCTTTTGCAATGTCGCCGGCTTGAAGGACTTCACTATGACATCCTTGCAGTCAAGTTTGGCCCATCGCTTATCCTCCCGCACCCAGGGGGCGAACAAGTCAAGGGTAGGATGCCATGCCAGGATGCATGGGGGAAGAATGGTGTTGTTAACCTTTTGGATGGCTGCTGATGCCTCCCAACCGTGCTCAAAAGCGCCGGCCCGGGGAATGAGCATCTTGATATCCCGCTCGGTGGATCTTTGCATGTTTTCTCTGAGCTGCGAGTCGGCAACCAGCGGCGAGTCTGGCATGGAAAGGTCGGGCTCGCGAAGCAGATCTGGAGGGAAGAATGCATATCCGGCAAAGTGTTCGTCGGCACCCTCCCCGGTTAACACAACTTTGACTCCATTTGCATTCGGCAAAGTCGAGAGAGCAAACTTTCCGACACAGTTGAGGTCGAAGTGGTGATGCTCGCAGTGATAAGCGCAGTCAGCAAAGTTCTTGGCCAACTCATTTTCGTCGATCTGCTTTTTTAAAATCTGGACGCCGAGATGCTCTGCTGTTCGCTCAGCAATATCTAGAAAAGTTCGATGAGAGGCGTGACCTTTACTTGAGCAACGAGAACTTCCTTACCGCTTTCGTCAAATCCAGATTCCTTGGGGAATTGGATCGTGAAACAGCTGACCCGGCTTGTCGCGTCTTTATTGCCAATTTTGATACCCTCATCTCGTACCAGGTGCGTTACTATCCCGGCAACTAGAGACGAGTCGATACCACCAGAGAGATAAATGCCAATCGGAACATCCGCTCTCAAGCGAAGGCGAATTGATTCTGTCAATTTGTCTCGCAGACCCTGGACCATCTCATCGACGCTCCGGGTCTCTCCCTCTGTCTAAAAAGTTGTTAGCTGAATATCCTCAAGAGGATCGGGGGCGCCAGTTACTTTGTCTTTATAATCAGCATCCCAGTACTGATGTATCTGCATCACGCCGTCTTTCGTTATTTCCATCCAGTGCCCCGGGGGCAGTTTCTTGACTCCCTTGAATAATGACCTCCCGTCTTGCATCCATCCACCATCCACGATCGCACTGACATCCCACTGCGGCTTCCACCCCAAAGGTCGGAAAGCCTTTGCTTCTGGGGCGACCAAAAGCCTGGTACCACCATCAGTCTGGCAGACGATAGTCCACAGTAATGGCTTGATACCGAATCGATCTCTCGCCAAGATGACTTTTCCCGCTGTCTCGTCGTAAAGTACGAAAGCGAATTCTCCTCGGAGATGCTCCAGGAACCGAGGTGCTCCAAAAGCCTTATATAACGCAAGAATCACTTCACTGTCACTGTGTCCCTTGAAAACGTAGCCTTTTGCTCTACACTCTTCTCGGATGCGATCGTGGTCGTAGATCTCGCCATTGACCACTGCATGAACAGCGTCATCGTCACTGTGGATAGGTTGATTGCCATCAGGAGTCAAGTCATTGATAGCCAAGCGGCAATGACCCATACCTGCAGTGGTTTTCGGTCAGCTCATGGAGGAGCATGCATTCTGTGCATCAGTACTAACCCACAAAGCCTTCTTCACTTGCCCACACCCCCTGTGCGTCTGGGCCCCGATGGCCTATGGCATCGAGGCTGCTTCTCAATTGATCTTTGAGATTCTGTAAGCATCCTCTCTTACCATCCTCATACTGATTGGTAAGTCCACTTAGTCCGCTGGCATATCCATTCAGGGCCTCGGTATGAAAATGGTGGCCTGGAGGAAGTGTGAGACAAGCTGAGATGCCGCACATTTCAACTTTTGCTGTCTATAAGATAGCACGGTTGTTCTTTCTAGATTTGATCCGGTGAGATAGTAGAACAGTAGAGGCTCGCGAGTGTCATCTCACAAACTCAGTAATCATTCCAATCTAGCTTACGATGTGACGAAGACAGATGCTTTTGGTATGCCTTGAGATTGACGGATATCCGGGGTGGGGCCGATGTTCGTCGGGGCGCCGTATTCGGCATGTCCCACTCGGTACCAGCCGAAAGGGGAAGTCCCGGGACCCATCCCTTCGGAGCAGCGACAGCCACCTTTAGTTGTTGGCACTATTGGTGAGCTCGAGCTTCCCAGGGCACTGGTCAGAGCCACAAGACTTGAATCCTGCAGCGAAACATTCACTTGAGAATTGAAGACGAATTTCGTGGGAAGGCTGGGAAGTAGGGTCGCAGGTACCTGATCTAATAGAGCCTCTGCTCAGTGTGGGGTACGATGTGCGGCAAATAGACAAAAGACATCTTGGTGGCAGTGCGACAACAGTGAAAGTCATATGTAAACAGCTATGTTGACTATCTACCTAGTACATGGAATAACAGGCCACGCCGAGTTCAATAACCGGTTTACGACGCAATCAGGGTGACGGGATTCTCTAATGGTGATTCAAAGTATGCGTTTTGATGTTTAGCTTCAAGAACGAAATTGTGTGCTTCGCCTCAACAAGTTGATATGCACTCCAGCAAAGCCTAATATCGAACCTCAAGGCATTCTCTACCTTATACTTCGATGCTCGAATACCAGAGCAGCAAGAAGCCTCGCCCATCTCCTTCCTGGATAATAACTTTCGGACTCTTCCAAGAACCCGATGCCGGTGCTGTTTGGGGCATGGGCGCCTCAGTCGTCTGATGGGCCTTTATGTTACCCCTCAAATCCCCTGACAGTGTTGAGCAGAAGAAACCTAAATCTGCCCTATTCCTGTATCTTTTCTTCGAGTTGTCTAGGCTGATACAGAGAGGAGGAAGCAACAATGAATACGCAAAAGAGTGGTGTGACGGCCGGTACTCGTATAAACTGTTCTCCTCACGACACTTGCGAGACCGAACCAATCACACAATGGCAACATCATGCACTTTGACCGCAAGGTCATATTTTCCAAACCGTTTGCTCTATGTAATTGGTGTGTTCGCGTAAATCATTGCTAGGATCAGAAGCACCGGACGAATTGAGTCTCCGTTGATTGAAGCTGCAAGGCCCATATCTAATGGAAAACCCACTCGGAAGTCATGAGGTTCTCAATCTCATTCACTAGAATTATATGCTAGCCTTTTGATCAATCAGATCAAGTAGGCATTGGTTCGACCCGCGAAATGGTATTCAGTATCGTCTCCATCCACAGCTGGATCTGTGGCTTTCTGGTTACAACCATACTTGCTCAATGGGCAGACCCCGGCCTCACTCAGGTTGCCTTAGGCGCAAACAACGCATGCGAAACTGCCAGTGTGCAACATCCTAAGCTTGATGGCATTCAAATCGTTTCACTTACTGCGGCTGAACAACTGAACTTCACGTACAATCCTCACCCAAGATTTCGGTTTGGTCGGGCGATTCATGGCCTAAACTTTTGTAATATCACAGTGATCTACACCCATCCCGGCTGGAACGATGAGATCGAGGTTACCACTTTTCTTCCGATGGAAAATTGGAACGGGAGATTTCAGGGAAACGGAGGCGGCGGATGGGTCACGGGGGGAATCGAAGTGGGCGGGATTACGATGATGCCTTCTTTGGAGGTAGGATTCGCCGTCAGCACAACTGATGGTGGCCACTCGAGTAAACTTGACGACGCATCAGGTGATGTTATGTCCTGGGCTTTCACCAGTCCTGGAAACATCAATTGGCCACTTTTCCTCGACTTTTCGCATGTCGCCTTACACGATATGGCCACGATCGGAAAAACCTTGACGGAGGCTTTCTACAGCACTCCTCCCAAGTACTCGTACTTTTATGGCGGTTCAACCGGCGGAAGACAGGCTTACATGCTAGCCCAGCGCTATCCAAACGATTTTGATGGGATTCTGGGCTTCTGTCCTGCCATAAACTGGGACAAGTTCCAATGGTCTCCTCTGTGGGCTCATAGAGTCATGGATGAGAAGGGCGTCTACCCTCGGCCTTGCGAGTTCGAAGCCATCACTGCTGCGGCTATGAAATCGTGCGACGGGCTTGATGGCGTCGAGGATGGAATCATTTCCATGCCCTCTCGGTGCTTCTTCAATGCCAGTACTCTCGTCGGCCAAGCGTTTGACTGCGGAGGGAAAGACGCGTCGTTCACTCCCGAAGCAGCAGAGGCGGCGAATGCTGCTTGGATTGGGCCACGAAGCGTGACCGGAGAGTTTCAATGGTACGGATATGGGAGAGATGCGAAAATGTGGCAGTTTGGTGCTCTCCATACGTCGTGTGATGGCGAAGGGGAGAAATGCACGCCGGTTAGGTTGTCCATCGCCGAGTCGTACGCACAATACTTTGTGGCCAAAAACGCCAACCTTGACCTTCAAGCCCTTGGTCACAGCCAATGGGATGATCTTTTCGTCGCGTCACGGAACGAGTACGAATCAATCACCGGCACTTCCGACCCCGACTTGAGCAGGTTTCGCAAGGCTGGAGGGAAGCTACTCAGCTGGCATGGGACGGCGGACCAGATTATCCCAGTCAACGGTACCGTCGATTACACAGACAGAGTCCTCGAGAAGGATCCTAATGCCCACGAATACTTTCGCATGTTCCTCGCTCTTGGCGCTGATCATAGTATCTCAAACGGTCTTGCTCCGCGGAACACACTGTCCGCGCTGATCGATTGGGTTGAAAAGGGAATTCCACCGGTCACACTGCGGGTTGAGGGGCTCAACGCTTATGGCAAGCACATGACGAGAGACATCTGCATGTACCCGCAAGTTCAGCACTATGTTGGTGGCGATCCAGCATTGCCGTCATCATTTACTTGCGTCTGATAGCGAAGTAAGCATTGGACCAAAAGCCAATTGTTCGTGGCTGCCAAGGACACAAGCACATCAATCTCTTTTTCGCAAAAACTGTTGGGGTGAGGAGTCCTTCAGCAGGAGATGGCCGAAGTGATCAGACTGTTCCTGAAATTGGAGGCTGGGCGGACCTTGATGAGAGGATGGGAGTGAAGCAAGATGCGGCTTGCCCAACAAGCGCTGTTGCAGTTCAATACTGAGTAAATAATACTTCGTTAACATAAATCTCGGGACCAAGGATCTAAATATGAAAATCCTCCATTATGGCTTTTCGCACCGCTAAATCGTTACGCGACGTCAATTTGGACATGGTTTCTTTGCAAAACCAACAAGGCATTGATGCCGGTAACTCTTAACACAAGACACGATCAAGGTAGAGTAGGAAGTTCCACGAAACTGGGAGACCGCGAGATTGACTGTGCAAGATCTAGTAGACGTTCACTGCAGCACTCAGCTTTGAAGGCAATGTTCGGAGTCAAAGACTGAGCCAAGTCAATCTCGGGGAATCGTAGCCTCTTTGGATGTAGTGGGGTAATTACTCCACTCCGAGTTCACGCCGATGACCCCGCGTCCCGCGACCCTTCTGCCGCGTTTCCATCTTATCGGAAGACGCGCCCCCATCTGCAGTCTGCTGACGGATGGACTACGTGGGAGCGAGGTGGGAGCAAAGTGGACCAGACTTTGACGGGATTGTGGCCGATACAAGCTAATCTTCAGATAAAGAATGTTGATTTGGCATCCCGCACACTATCAGTGCCACTTCCGAGTTCCCGCTAACTCCGTTTCTACTCCGGTAGTTAGGAAACTTTTGTATTTCGTCATGTTCTCCGCCCGAAACACCTCGGCAAAACGGATAGCGTTGCCGCTAATCTGTCTACTGACAAACACATCTTGCCCGGCCTTTCTTTGAAAGGAATCTGGTTTAGATATAAAGAATTCTTAGTGACCTTGGGTAAATCATTGTAGCCCTTCACGCTCGACCTTGAACAGCATCGCCGCACTTTATTTTCAAGATGGCTACCGACTACAAATTCGAGGGATGGGTGGCGGACGACCCCTCTTCGGTGGACGGCAAGATGGTCTGGCGAGAGTACGAGCCGAAAGTCTGGGAGGAGACGGACGTTGATATCAAAATCACTCACTCGGGCATTTGCGGCTCTGACATTCACACTCTGCGGGCTGGCTGGGTATGTCGCACACTCATGCGGCGTCTGCCATTCTGCATGTACTCCGAGCCTCGATTGGCTAGCGTGCTGACTGTGACGTTTAGGGTGCCACCAGATTTCCTGCCGTCGTCGGCCATGAAATCGTGGGTGTAGCCGTCCGTGTCGGATCTCAGGCAGAAGGCGGCATCAAAGTTGGAGACATCGTCGGCGTAGGCGCGCAATCCGACTCGTGCCTTTCGCGCGACGGGCCCTGCGATGCGTGCGAAGTCGGCGAGGAGAACTACTGCACTAAGCGCGTCAACACCTATAACAGCCTGCATCGCAACGGCAGTCAGACACAGGGCGGATATGCGCTGTACCATCGCTGTCCGAGTTACTTCGTGATCAAGATTCCCAAGGGAATTGCTCCCGAGCAAGCTGCTCCCATGCTCTGTGGCGGTGTCACGGTTTTCTCACCCTTGAAGCGCTACAACGTCGGGCCCGGCAAGAGAGTCGGTGTCATTGGCGTCGGTGGCCTCGGCCATTGCGCAGTCTTGTTCGCGAAGGCTCTAGGCGCAGACAAGGTGGTGGCTATTTCCAGAAAGTCTGATAAGAAGCAAGATGCTACGCAGCTTGGTGCAACCGATTTCATCGCCACAGCTGAAGATGAGGACTGGGCCACGAAGAATGCCCGCACCCTCGACGTGATCATTTCTACGGTCGCGTCTCCCAAGGTACGTTGATGTCGCTCCCTCCGTGAAAACTTTGGTACTTGTGTGGAAGCTCACGCAACGATAGATGCCTCTGGCCCAGTACCTTGGCCTTCTCTCACGTGGAGGTACATTTGTTCAAGTTGGTGCTCCCGAGGAGCCGGTGCCACTGAGCGCTTTTGCCCTGATCAGAACCCGAGTGCATTTGACTGGATCAGTCATTGGCAGTCCTGGGGAAATCCGAGAAATGTTTGACCTTGTGGCCGCGAAGGGAGTCAAGGTCTGGGTTGAGACACGCCCAATGAAGGAGGCCAACCAGGCAGTTTTGGACATGGTCGATGGTAAACCCAGGTATCGATATGTTCTGACAAACTAAGACCACATTAGACACCATAAATAACATGATCCTTCCTTTCATTGGCTTGGAGGCATCGTCCCCTTCTACTCTGAAGTGCAGCTCACATTTAGACTCAGACCATCTGGTTCTTTGATACCTGCGGTCTATGGAACTTCCGCAAACAAAAGCGAAAAGGATTTGGCTCTCAACCTGAACACACCTCCTGCCTCAGTGGGTGTAGCGTGTCCTCGGTAGACGCTCAAGGGCGGATACTACTTTATTTAAGCAGCATGGATACGGGTAGCAGGGGTGAATGGCCTTGGTTTTCGCTGGAAACCTCCATCGCAATCTACTTCAGGGCCCACACCGAAAGCTCACTGTCAGTCCGGACGACTCGAGACCAAACTGTCTCGATGCCATTGTCATCGCAGTGAGTATTTCGACACACATTGACAATGAGGTCTAACTCAAGCGCCTACTCTTATACAATTTGGTCATAACAATGTGTTTTGTTCACAACTTACGGCGCAGTGAAGACGTGTCGCTCTTGGGTCGAATGCTACCCGTTGTGGAGCAGAACCCCTGTACGGCCGGGGATCTGCGGTTGACATCACGAAAGAATCTCGTATTTGCCGTTCTTCATCTCCAATCTCGTGTCATTTTCTTTCGCGAAGCAACAAACTTCCCATGAATAACATGAGAAAGCGGGGACGCGATCGCGGGCCGCCCGTGACCAGTTTCTGGGGTTCAACGCCACCATCTTCTTATATGGACGACATGTTCGCGCGACGGAATGCGGCTCTCTCTCCGCTTCTCATCCATCGGCCTACTTTTTAGTGAGCGGGTGATCAACCAGACAGGATGAGGGTCTCACACGCACTAATCTCGGCCCTCGTGGGTTCGAATCTTGCCGCCGCCAACCCGCTCCATCCGCGCATCTATACGAAGCCTCCGCCAGCACAGCTCCCAAGAGCCGAAACAAGTGAGAACAACAACGTTAACCCGAGCGAGCTTATTCCTGGCGCCTACATTGTCGAGTTCGCAGACGACAATGATACACCCGAGACCTTCCTCAACTCCCTCAAGGCGGATGGCCTCGACGTCGAATCTCGCATGGACCTGAGCAACCGTCTGTTCAAAGGCGTTTCTTTCCAGCTCAAGAATGTTGGCGAGGTCAACCATGATAGCACACTCCTCCGTCGCAAGATCGAATCTTCACCGCGCATCAGGAGCCTTTGGCCTGTGCGTACGATCCAGCTTGCAAAGCCCGAGGACCATGGTGCGCCAGCCAAAGGCGCGTCAGCCAACGGTGCGTTCACCAAGACCAACATCAGGCGTCAGGAAGCGGCATTTGGAAACTCAACCAAGGATACCTTCTCGCCTCACGTCATGACCCAGGTCGACAAGCTGCGCGAGCAGGGAATCACCGGCAAGGGAGTTCGCATCGCCATCATCGACAGTGGCGTGGACTACACTCACCCTGCCCTCGGCGGATGCTTCGGCCCCGGGTGTCTGGTGGAGGCCGGCTGGGATTTTACGGGAGACGACTTTCTGCCCAACGTGAGACCGCTTCAGCCCGATGCGGATCCGATGGACAACTGCGCCGGACACGGTACTCATGTTGCCGGTATCATTGCTGCTCAGCTCGAAGGTAATGAGTACGGCTTCACGGGTGCCGCTCCTGGCGCCAAGCTGGCAGCATACCGAGCGTGGGGATGTGCCTCCACGTCGACGAACGAGGTATTGCTGGCCGCGTTCAGCCGCGCCTTTGAGGAGGGAGCTGATATCATCTCGTGTTCTGATGGAGAGTTCGTGCACCTTGTTCACTCGAGGCGAAGTGTTCACGCTTTGCTAATCTCTATGATAGTCCTTCTGGTTGGGCGGAGGATGCTTGGGGTGTCCTTGCTGCCCGCATCGTCGACGCCGGTGTCCCAGTCGTCATCTCCGAAGGTAACGACGGCGGCAGCGGCATGTTCTACGCTTCAACCCCGGCTACCGGTCGTGGCGTCGCGGGAAGTGGTGCCGTGACGAACTCAAAGTTCCCCACTATCCTCAACGAAGGCACTTTCTCCGTGGACTCCAACTCAACATCGGGTGCCAAATCTGACTTTGCGTACTTGCCCGGTGTTCCCGAGCTCGTGGGAGACCTCTCGCTTCAACTCTGGAGCCCCGGCGAGAATAATGCCTGCAGTGACCTGCCTGATGACACTCCCGACCTGAGCAACAAGATTGTCCTGCTTCTGTTCCCCGATTCCCGCGCTACAGGATGTTATCCCATTGACCAGGGCAACAAGATCGTCGCCAAAGGTGGACATTATATTCTCTTCTACACTAACGACAATACGTGAGTCATCGCTTCATTCGCTTCAATGCTTTGTGACGCCTAACATTGTCTTTAAGTACTATGCGGGACGAGCAATATGTCTACTCTCAGGGGATCCAAGGTGTCGCTTCTATCCCACCTTATCAGTCTGACCAGTGGCTCTCTCTGTTGGAGCAAGGTCGCAGCGTCACGGTCTCTATTCCCAGCGCAAACAACACCAGGACTCGTCTTGAGGAACTTGAGAATAACTCCAGCGGATCTTACATGGGATCTTTCTCGAGCTGGGGCCCGACTTGGGAGTTGGAAGCCAGCCCGCAATTCGCCGCTCCTGGAGCCAACATCTTGTCGACCTTTCCCGTTGCGCTTGGTGGTTACCGTGTCATGACGGGCACTAGCATGTGTATGTAACATTTCTGTCTACTTCTTCGGCGTTGCGGGTGAAGTGGCTTCGCAAAGTAGACTAACTTATTCGCAGCTTGCCCTCTGAACGCCGCCATTTACGCTCTTCTCGCTGAAGCACACGGAACGAAGGACCCTAAGCGTCTCAGATCCATCGTGTCGTCTACTTCAAAGCCGCTGGCCTGGTATGATGGAACTGCAGCGCACACCGATCTCATTGCCCCTGTCCCGCAACAAGGCGCTGGAATCATTCAGGCGTTTGACGCAGCTCGCAGCAACGTTGAGCTCAGTGTTGACAGCATCTCCTTCAACGACACCGACCACTTCACGGGCAACGAGACCTTCACCATCGAGAACCATGGATCTGCCGACGTTGTATTTGAAGTCAGCCATCGCAAGGCCGTTACCATGTACACCTTCGTGGAGACCACGGATCGCTTGAGGGCCGCCTCATTCCCTAACCCCATCATCGAGGAGTGGGCTGAGCTTCAGTTCAGTTCTGAGTAAGTCACTTACAGCCTCTCAGGTGATTCAAATACCTTAGACTGACAACCTTAATAGAAAGATTACTGTCCTTGCTGGAGGATCCGCAGAACTCACCGTCACATGCGTTCCCCCATCTAACGTCAATGCTACGCGTCTACCAGTCTACAGCGGCTACATCGCCCTCACTAGTACCACCGATGCCCCTTCCCTGAGTCTGCCCTACCTCGGAGTTGTCGGCAGCATGCGTAATATTCCCGTCATCGCACCGGCGCAAGCCTATCTTGCCAACTATTATAGCCAAGCTCCGGCGAACACGACCTACACGATCAAGCGCCCCGACCCAGCCAATCCACCTCTTACCGATCGCGGAGATCAATCCGCGATCCCCAATGTCATTATCTCACCCACAGTTGGCACTGCCTCTATCCAGGTCGAAGTCTTGCGCATTAGCGGAGGCAAAGAAGAAAACCTTGGCAGCTTGGCTGGCTGGCCTCTCCCCTACGCCCCTCGCACCGAGACACGCGCTTTCTTCAATGGGCTGCTGGCTGATCATACTGTTCTTGAACCTGCTGTTTACGCCATGAAGGTCAGGGCGCTGCGGATCTTTGGGGATAGGACAAATGAGGAAGACTGGGATGTTGTCAAGACGGTGCCATTTGTGTTGAAGTATGAGATATCTGGGAACGGAACTACGGCCTCGACGTAATGTCCAGATGCTGTATTCTGTGCGCCATCTTGATGATCAGCTCCACATTTCAAATCGTAATGAAGATAACTTGATTCCATACCAAACAATATCGATGGCTCGTCCGACATGGTGTAAGAAGGATATGGTGGTTAACCCGTTAAGAGTCTTCCAAGATTTATGAGTGTTATCGCGCCATACTAGTATTCACTGTATGTTATCCTATGAAGACCTCGCCTGGCCTCCATACCACGCGAAGCCTTATTCATGTACCTAAAAGCACTCGGCGACCTAGAATATTGAGACAGGCCTCAAGATCCCAAGACTCAATCACGGCAGTGTCTCTCTTCAGCCAAATAGCTTCAAAGACCTCTCTAGCCAACCTCGGAGGACCAAAGTTTACAAGATCTCCCATTACATCAAGAACTTCGCCAACCAAGCCTTCTTGCTCCTCCTTGGCCAAACAGGCAGTCACACAAATAGGCCATGCGAGCGTATGTAACCAGCGAGCATTGCCCAACTTCATCATTAACGCAAGGTTCTCTGACACTGATTCCTCGATCTCCATGCTGACTGATTGCCAGCCTGAGAGAACTATGTGAAGGTAAATAAGGCCAGCATGAGCCCAAATCTGGGTGACTAGGATGATGGCCTCAGACTCCTCTTGTGCAAATCGGTAGTCAGCTAACCAAGGTGGCCTCTGATCCCGCACCTTCGACTCTCGGGCGCTCAACGAACGAAGGCCTTCTCGAAACTTGATCTCGAGATCCCCGCCCCTTCTGAACAGTTCGAGATTTGAAAATGACCCCTGCTTGCGCATTTCCTTTTTCCAACTGGCCAGTGATGCCACCTCTGCAATCAATACCATGACCCAGTTCTGGCAGCCGATGAAGCGCTCCAAGAGAAGACCGCAGTTCCGGTTTGGGACCTCTTCAGGCTTGTCATCTGTAACGAGCAACTCTTGGTAGTTTGCTTGTAGTCGTGGTGCCTGTCCGAGTGAAGTGCTCGCCAGAAGGTCGTGGACTACAAGAAGAGCCGTGAAGAAGCGAAAGGCGCTTTGATCGAGTGTCCAGGCAGGAAACTCGGGAGGGTTTTCCAATTGAGGATACGCGAGTCTGCCGACTTTCCGGCATGTAGCGGTCCATTTACAGCCTTGGAACTCTTCGTCGTTTACCTCGTGGAGTATCTGCTTCAGCAGGGTAATACCCGCATCCAAGTGCATAGTCCAATTCTCTGACGTGCCAAAGGCTGCTTCCAGGTATAGTAGATGCACGATACTGTCATAGAGTCGGACGCTGGTGATCAAGTCCTCGTGTACGCCGCGACGGACGACTTCCTTAACGTCTTGTTGTGCCTTCTGCATCGCTATGTGCGTCTGCTTTTGCAGTTCAGCTTCGACCTGAGACACGCATCTGGGTCTCTCTGAGTGGCGGCGTTGCACCGGTACGAGGGCAAAGAAATGCGAAGCAAGGCTGGTCGCAGCATGGGATAGGGACTTGTTGGCCAGGGTAAGAACGAGCATCCAACTTCGACCTCCTTCAAGTATAGACGGATAGTAGAAGGGGAACAGTGCCGGTACAATGTAGTCTAGATATGCTGAGATGTAACATTGCTCCAACTCAGTCGGGAGTTGTGATGTGGACTTCTCCAGGCTAGAAGTAGCAGGTGTCTGAGGTCCGGGGTTGGGTGTTCCATCGTTGGACTGAGAAAGCGACTTTGATTGCAAGTCTCTGTCGTGAGATATGTTGGACTGCGAAACAGTTGTTAGAGGGTTTTGTCTCAGAGGATAAGTCAAACCCCCCACTTCCTGGCACCCCCCTGTTTCTGGCACCCACAAAAACGATGGGATCACAACCCAACCTCCTCATTACTATTAACTATTGATCCTCAACCACACCCACTACAATACAACTGCCAGCCTCACTAGGGCATTCAGAGTCGCTGGATTCAGCCGTAATAACCTCCTTTTCACCCGCTTCGATTTGAGCCCGATGGATATCCCTGATGTTCGCAAACTTCGTGTTGGGATCGATCTGAACAGTCTTCCTCTTCCTAACTGCAGCGTTGGTAACTTGAGCCCTCAGGTGAGCCAGCTGCTGCTGGGCAGCTGCCAGTTGCCAGGCCTGCTCTGTGAAGCCTTTTTTCACCTTCCTGAACAGCAGCCGTTGAGTGCTGGTATCATTGTCGAGTTGGGTGTATAAGTGCAGTTGACCGCTGAGCTCTGCCAGCTTCCTGGGTGTCGACCAGACCACTGCAGAGGAAGCAGAATCCCATGGCTCAACAGGGGTAGTTTGTTGACCATTATGGCATCGCTTTTTGCCCCGACTGGTTGGTTTGGGTGTGGTGGGCTTAGCAGAAGGCTCAGGTAATACCATAGGGTTCATCAGGGGCTTAACCATCGCTACAGGGTGTAGACCAGTCCACTTCCAACCACTTCTGATGTTCGAGACTGATAGACCAGCAAGTCGAGCCTTCTGGTAACAGTCCAGGAAGTTCCTTTTACCTATAATGGTAGAGTCGTTCCATTGAGACAAGTAACCGAGCTCCTTCCGATAGGCTGACTTAACAGGGCTGAAGACAGACTGGTCAAGTGGCTGGAGGACATGAGGAGTGTGGTGGTAAGAACAGTAAATGGATATTGTTAATATAGCAATTCCACATGAAGTCTGTCGTCGTATGACTCCCATGCCCATCCACAATCAACAGTCGAGCCTCGCCCTCAGCCTCGGGCATAGTCTGTGGGATAAACACCTTCTCTAACCATTCAATGGCAGTTAAGTCTGTAGCCATTATCTGTTGCTGTAAACTCCCACCCATCGTATGGAACCAGATGTAATGGAAACCACTGTTGTTGGACCGTCTTCCCTTGAAAATGATAAGAGGACGAAGTGCCCTACCCAAGGCTGAGATACACTCAATGATAGAGACCCATGCCCTCGACCCAGGTTGTTTCTTGCGAACAGACGTCGTCTCAGCCATGCCCAGCACTAACCCATTAGCTCCCTGACCCTCGAGGATGCCAGTCTCATCCATATTATATCTGTTGGCTGGTTTGATGTCCTTGATCTCAGGGATAGCAAGGAACTTAAACCAGTTCCTAATGACCTCAGTAGATGCCCCATTAACGCGTCTAGAATCGATGGAACGACTTCTCTGAACCTTAATGATAGGTTCCTTCTCACGAAGGCATAGATCCAGCCTTTCCTAATGGTTTGGTATCCCCAGCAGCAGCCAGAACTCGCTCTGCGAATTCCTTCACCTGTTGGTGCGTTGGTGCGAGGCCCAGCGAAGCCTGAATGCGAACCCATTGTGCCAGCTTTCTCCTGGTCAGGAGACAGCCTCTGCCAGTCAGCAAAAGCCACTTTCCTAGTCTGACCACCTTGGAGACGTATAGTTGGAGGGTTGATCGTGGTATCCCATACTCCAATGAGGCTCTCTTTTGACTCTTGCCGTTTGAGATGTCCTCGAGAGCCTGACGAAGCTGATCTTCGGTATATTGAGGCATTAGATATAGAAGAAGGTATGTGCAAAAAATGAGCCCATTTGGACTCGAATTGAAAATGTTGTGATAAAAGGAGGTTGGGGGTGGGCATTGCGTTGTGGTGGATTTTCGCGTTTTTGTGGGTGCCAGAAACAGGGGGGTGCCGGGAAGTGGGGGGTTTGACTTATCTCGCGATAACCCCGGGAGATCCCAAAGTTGTTGATGGCGGCGGCAAAAGGTCATTGGCGTGGGCATCTCCGACGATGCGCTGTACAACCCTTCGAGCCCTCCTTAACTTGGCGCTTTTTGTAACCTCAGCCTTGAACATATCAGTCATAGCCTGCTGTTTCGGTCCGCCATCCATCCAGTCCGGGGCCTCTTGGCCGGAGAAGCAGGTGATCTCGAGGCCTGCGCAGACGTTGCAGACGGGCAATGATTCGTCGCATTTTTTGTGGCGTATGCGGCACGTCCAACAGCTTGACGTCTCCCGTGGCATTCTTCGTCTTGCCGTAAGTACTGCTAGTTTCCGTCGTCTCTAGGATTCGGTCGGGAACCAAAAGATATGGCTTGGTGTACCCAACAGCCATGCGATATTCAGATGTTTCCGCGCGGTTCACCTCAGACTCGGACATCTTTGAGCTGATGTTTGCTGTGATCCGCTGAGGGCACTATGCCCATAGCGGGTCCACTAAGCGGCTAGTGCACTGTTCCCGCCCAGATCTGTTCCCGCGCGGGAATGTTCAGACGCGGCGGACTTTCGACAATAGACGACGGACTTTGAAGTCGTGATAGTTGCAACATCTAGTTTATGGCACCTGGGTTTCCGTATAAAATCAATGGAAAAAGAACTGCTCGTTGAAGACTTAACGAAGGTTCGTTGCGTCAACCTGAAAGTCTTTGATCAATGTCAGGCAAGAAAGTCCTAGTTCTTGGTGGAACCGGCCCGGCAGGTATTTGCCTACTACGAGAGCTTGTTCATCGCAACCATGCAACTATCCTCCTAGCAAGAACCCCCTCAAAACTCCCGGGTGACTTAGCCTCCAACTCTCTAATCGAGGTTTGTTGTGACTTTGAGACTATATTCTCTACTATGCCGACCATGACAAAATTCAAACTAACTTAATTTCTTGGTTAGGTAATCGAAGGCGAAATGAGTGACACGAAAGCCTTAGACTCAGCAATGGCCCGCTCGTCCATAGTTGTATCCCTCCTTGGGCCAAACATCAACGACAAGCACATCGATCCTTCTCTTTACGCCGATATTTACCGCAACTACGTTTTTCCAGCAATGAAGCAATACGGCGTCAGACGAATTCTAGCCATGGGTACAATCTCTATCAAGCAGCCCGAAGACAACTGGACATTCTTCCAGACCATGGTCACGTTCGTCATGCCGCTTTTGAATGGCGCGGTTTACCGCAATATGCATAACCTCGCTCACTTATTTGGCAAAGAAGGTCACGATCTTGACTGGACTATCTTCCGCATAGCACAGATACCTGGAGAGTCTGATGAGACTAGCTGGAGACAGGACCGTGATCTCGGACTGTTCACTGGGTGGATAGGAGAAAAAGATTGGACATCAACTCTTCGGCGGGGCTCACTAGCTCGATGGCTCGTGGATGGAGTCGAAGGTAAGATGGACCTTTGGATCCATAAGATGCCAGGGATCAGTCAACTGGCAGGGGTCTGATTGACGTAGATGCAAGGTAGTAATAATGATCCAAGCTTACGGGTGCACGTTCAAAATGTACTTCAGAGCTATGTTCATTATTGCGAAATAAGCTTACTGTAGGCTTGTTATCTTCGTGCTGATGGCAGCCCGTACCTAGCTTACAGGCATCAAGCAAGTCTCGTATCATCCGGCTATGGAACAGGGCTGCTGAGGAGGCAATTCATGTTGTGTCGGCATACTTCTTGGAGTATCGTTTACTAAGAAAGGAGCTTCACGTCGGATTCATTTGGGCGGACACTGCATCATTTTCTCATGGAGACGAAGTGCCCGAGAGCAAACCAGGAACAGCCACGATGCATACGTTCTAGGCCTTCAATCTACTTTCTATGTACAGAAGTCTGCTTGCCTTGGGTGTTGTAACCAATGAATGACAGCACAGGACAGAAAGCTGCTCGACGACTTACCAGCATTGCGATATCTGAGTTTTGATGCGACTATATTGAGTCTAGAGCAAATAGTAAGGTTAGCTTACCGCGGACGTCGGGACGAGACAGGCGCGAGAGGCTCACCCGGAAACTGCTGCCGAATTGCCATGTCCGGTATTGCTTCCCACCTTTGGGAACGCCTGTAACGTCAAGAACCCATGTCAGTCAATGCTTGCTTACTAAAAGTGCCTATTGGCTTTGGGCTCGTGACAATCTTGTGCAGCTCATATCTACTAAGGCACTGAGCATGTTTCTTCGCCAGTATTAGCCGTACCGAAGTGAGACGACAAGCCTTCACAACAATCAGGTTTCTGTTCATGTTGTCGATGGTTTGCACTAGTCTTTTCTCCCTTCCAATAACACGAAGTCGCTGCGTTGCCTATCACACAACCTACAAGTTATGTCTATAGCCAGTGTTCTTGGAGGCTAGCCGTTTCATGACCTGCCATACTCGGACATCCGGCTGTTCTTACCGTTTTGTCACAATGACTCGGTTGCGAATCGGGTAGACCTGCGACTTTGTCTACGGACTGGAAATCAGAACTTCTCAAATTGGTGTAAAGTTTCTTGGCGCCCTGAAACGGAACCTTCCTTGTCTTGGCATCCAATACGTCGGATATATTGTTTCCATCCGGAGGCAGCCACCTCGGCCTTCGTTTCTTGTTTCCCTCTCTTGGAATACTGCCCCATGACTGAACTGCTTCACGAACAGAAGGGATGTCACTGCAACCAAAACACGTGGATTTGTCTTTTCTTGCTTATTACGCCCCTGTCCCCTAATGAGGGGTGAGGAAAATTGCAGCCAGCATCATCCCGAGTCGATGATCGCTCCTTTCACACTCCCGCGCGTTAGCTTTGAGACTAACTCGGCGCTCACCGAGCCGTGATTGCGCTCATATTGAAAACAGGCTTACAATTTTGCTTTTGCACTTCTACATCATGGGCTGATAGCTCAACCCTGTCAAACTTTTGCGGCAGGCTGATGGGGACGCAAATCGGGCCCGGTGCCGACCACAGCTTCCTATCCCGATTCCGAGCTCAGTGCACGTGTTTAAATCAAGGTCAATTTTTCCCCTTTGGCGATATGTTTGATTGTCAATCTGAAATATCTAGCAACCCTCTTCGACATGTAGTCACGCGCAGACGCTAAGAGGGTAAGAGTCTCAATGAGGTTCGTCCTGTGCTCGCATGGAGGCACTGAAGTGACACGGCTATTGTCTGTTCCCAACAGACCCTTGACTCAGGGTCGACATCTGTTTCCTTCTAAGGACAGCGTCGAACGTGCCAGAATTGCCTAGTATAGTTCGCCAAGCAATCTTCTGATCGTCTGGTGGGATCGACGGTCGGTCAGTGATATTTCTCCGAGGGATGCGACTCGGCATACGATAAGGTGAAGATCTTTCTAGGGTCATACAGACAACAATTTAAGCTTCACCAAAAGCTTCGTTCCTTTCCGTCTAAACAACTGTCCAATCGTGAGCAAGGAGCAGCCAAGGTCCTGAAACTTTGTGCGGGAAAGTCAAAGGGAACCCCGCGCACGTCCGGCAGAGAAAAGCTCCATCGGAACGCTCATTGAGCCAAACAGCCTCACCTTTTCTGTCTCACCTGAGAGCATGTTTGGATTTCCCACGCAATTGAAGATTCATAAATCCAGGGTATGATGGGTTGTTGTTTGGCCCGTGATTCCGTGATGCCAGGGTGCCGGAGGATGAGGAGAGCAAATTAGCCAAAGAATAAAGATCATCCATTTCCTTTAGCTCTAACCTAATTGCCGAGAGTTGCCAGAGCGGCCGATTCGTTTTTATTCTCTCATCTAGTTCAACTTCAAAATCCCACAGGTGCTGGACGCCAGTTTTGCTGATTGCCATTCCCTTCTCTTCTCTTCTTACGGGCAGGGACCATAAACACAGTCCATTTTTCGACCACCATGAAGTCTATCATCAGCATCACTGCATTACTCGCCGCTGTGGCATTTGCTCACAATGACATGCCACCGAGAAGCATGTCCACAACAGAATTCCGCCAGGCTTTCATGGAAGCCGGTATTGTCCCCGATGTAATGGGGTCGTTCGACCCCATGGTGTCATTCTACGCCGGTTATAAAGCCAGTGATGGCGATAAGGCATTGCTGATGCCCGGAACGAAACTAAAGATGAAGGAAACTAAATTTCCATTCGAGTTCAGCGTCGAGAATATCATGAAAGCCAGGAACGTCACTCGGAATTCCAGATTCGTTCTCTACATGGTAAGTAGGTCCCGCCGTGGGCTGGGAAGCTTTAACAATACTAATACCTTGGACTAGATTGGCCCGGACTCTCCAACACGCGACAGCCCTACAGAGCGAAACATGAGGCACTACCTCGCTGGCAACTTCACCCTTGAGCAGACCAAATCTGAAGTCCTTGCGTCAGCGATGATCATGAAGAACTCAACTCCCGCATTTAATGATTATATGGCACCGGAGCCCAAAGCTGGCAGTGGCATGCATCGATACGTATACCTGCTCTACGTTCAACCCGAGAAATTGAATAAGATGGGCTTCGACGCCATGGGTGTTGATAAGATGAATCGGAAGAACTTCAATGTTAGTTACATTCTGCAAATTTATGTCCCTCTAATGTCAAGCTGACCGTCTTCAGATCTCTCAGTTCCGCAAGCAAGCTGGTCTCGGACGCCCCATTGGTGGAACCTACTTCATGCTGAACATGGCTCAGGATAATGGAGGCAGTGGCGGTCATGGCGGCGGGAATAACGGAGGAAACAATGGTGGAAACAACGGTGGTAACAACAACAATAATGGAAACGGACGAAGCGCTGCCTCTGTCGTGACCGCGGGTTCTGTGGTAATGTTCATTACGCTGCTGGCGTCAATGTTTGCTTGGATGTAAGACCTGCCGGAGCTACGGGCTAGGACAATGAGGACGGGGCGTTATATCTGACGAGAAGATTCTCAAAAAGTAAACGGAAACAATCCTTTCACTCGCTAGGTAGGTAGGGTATTGGCAATTTTCAACTTCGTACATATTTCATCACCTTAATTCAAGTATAAACTACTTGGTGCTGGTTGTTCTCAAAAGATGGTAGCTACTACTACCCACGATTCCACCCCCGTCATCATCTGCTGAGACCATGCAAAACTCTCTTCACACTCGTATCTCTCTCCATTTCCTGCCAAAGACGAGGCTCCCAGTCATTAAAGCCCTCCCGCACACCGCCCCCCTTGCCATCCACTCTTTCATTCGAAGACCAACACCTCGACAGCCAAGCTCGCAAGACGTGGCTCTGCCTCAGTGCCTTAGTAGCCATCTCCATCAGAAGCAGTGCACAGAGCACCATGACAAGCGTAGACCACCATGCTGGATCCCTGCCAAATTCTGAAATCAGTCCCCCGCGAACGGAATATGGGCCCGCGCTTAGTGAAGAGATGGCACCCGCTATGAGCAAATAGGCCCACAGAACTGCGATACTGCCGACGATGGACCAGAGGGCAACTCTGGTTTTGTAGTGTAGCTCAATTACCCTTTTTCAAGTCAGTAGGCTTGTCATGAAATCTGAGCCTGGATGTACTCACAGTAACTTGATGTTGACCCAAACCCCACATAGCACAAATGTCAGCAATCCTTGCGCATACAGTCCGTCATCGTCAATCATTTCAGAGTCCGTGTAACCCGCCCAAGCTCCAGCATAGACAATGAGTCCCGAAATCATTGCGTTACTGAACCAGCTAAAGTATACCGACATATTCAGACCCTCAGCATTTTGTCCATACTTGAACAGCTCCGGGACCACAGTCAGAGTGCGCGAGTGTAGATCTTGTTCCCAAGTTCCGATAACGAGGATGCAAGCCGCAGTGAAGAAACTCACAAAAGTAAGACTTCCTGGTTCGTACAAACTCGTGCCCGTAGCCCCGGTCTGCTCTTGGAAGAGTGCCTGCGGGAGGTAGAAAAAGGTCTCCTTCCAGAACGTCGCCAAGATGAAACGTGTCGTGCGGTAGTAGTTCCAACGGCCATGAACAAGTACCAGCCGAGACAGAAACCGAAACTGAGAGATGCTGAAGTCCGCGACACGAGCGGCCTGTTGACCCTCTCTGCCTGAGATGCCCACGCCGACGCTGGCAGCAGAGATCATGGCCAGATCATTGGCACCATCGCCGATAGCAAGCGTCAGGGGCTTTGTTGGAGTCGGACTAAGCCAACTGTACCATCGCGACTTCTTCTGCGGGCCTTTCCCAACTTCAGTAACGAGCAGCGCTTTCTGGGCAGGTGATGCACGGCAGCAAATGACAGAGTCGACCTTGGTCATGATTGAGACAAACAGTTGACGGAGTCGGATCGCAGATGGATCCTCAATTGCGGTCAAAGTCTCGCCATCGATCACGATTGCCGTATGCGAACGGGTCGGGTCAGAGTATACTTGCGGGAGACCATATTGGATCTCGTCCGCAATGCCGGTGAGTTGCAACTCAAGATCACCTTTCTCGACGTCGAGTACGAAGAGAGAAGTATTGGGACCAACAATTCGTGTCGAATGAGCGATATTGATGGCCGTCTCTCGCTTATCGCCAGTAAGCATCCAAATCTTAATCCTAGCCTGCCGTAGCTTCTCAATCGTTTCCGGGACCCCGGCCTGCAGTTTGTCTTCCACTGCAGAAGCTCCCACGAGATCAAGAGACTGCTCGAGCAGCTCGCTCACCTCCTCGATGCGCTCTTGACGGTTCATGAGGCTAGTCTCGGCTTCGTGGTGAAGGTGCTTCCAGTTGTTGTACTCTTCGGGTCCGAGAAACTTGTCCGCGTAGACCAAAGTGCGCAGTCCCTCGGTGGCGTAGTCGTCAATATGAGCGAAACACTCGCGAACGCTCCGAGCCTCGTCTGCAATCCAAGACCCCTCCAGAAATCCAAACCGAGATTGGTCATTCTGTCTGCCGTGTGCTGTGTCGTTCTGCGGTCGTTGTGGCTGAAGCCGAATCCCGAATTCGTCGACCTCTCCTAACGTTTGACTATAGATTGAGCGGTCGTCTTCATCCCTGATTTCGGTGACAGTCTCAGCTGGAAGTCTCGACCGCCGCGAGCTCCACCGTGATGGCATTGAGGTCACACCCTTTAGAGGTGCAGCGTTGCTGCTGTGGGTGGTCTTCATGTCTGCAGGAGCCATGCGCAGCCGGGGTAAGATGATGGAGTCGGCCCCCTTGCAGATAAGCCAGAGTCTCCCATCTGGACAACGAAGAACTATAGTCATCCGCTTGCGCTTGCTGCTGAACTCAATCACGTCCAAGATCTCAAAGACAGTGCAAGAGCTGTTGCCGTCGGCATGGGGTATTTGCACCATGATGGACTGGGATGATCGCTGAATGACGAGGAACCCAAGCTCCTGCGCACCCCTGACTAACGCCAACTCGTCAGGCGAAGAAGCTTGAAAATCAATTTCCCCGTCATCAGTTCTTTCCGGAAGGCAGGTATGGCAAAGTGACATAGCCAAGATGTACCTCATGGCTTTAGAGGCGAAAAAAGAGTTGGGCTTCGATCGAATGTACTCGAGCATGTGCTCAGTGGTCAAATTCGAAGTTGAATCGGCATCTACTGTCGAGCTCTCTGGTAAGTCCATCTGATGAAGCCAGCTAGTTCCAGCGATACTAAGCCTCCGAAGCTTCATGATGTTCTCCGTCAGAGTTCCAGTCTTGTCACTGAAGACATAGCTGATCTGGCCAAGGTCGTCGAGGTTGTTGGTCGTGTTTACTCCTGCAGGGGTGTCCGTCTTGTCGTGGTATATCTCAAAGTCGTTACTAATGAGACTCATTTGGCCTAACTTGGTGGCCTCAAGTCCGACATAGAGGGATAACGGAATGACGTTGTTGAACATGATGATGAAGCCGACGAAGATGTCCGCAAAGGGGACCGAGGCGCCGGACAAGTACCAAGCGTGGTCCTCCTCGGAGCCTTTCCAAGCAAGATAACCCATGGATGTCGCAGTAGAGCTAATCAGGACGTAAAACATCAAGAACACGACGATGAAGTTGGTAATTCTCTCAAGGGCCGGCTGCTTAGGTTTTGTCTCCTTGTTCGCGTTCAACCTGATTTTGCACTCCTCTCCTGTGTTAATGATAACCCCGATGACTTTGGTCGTGTTGCGAATTGTGCTCCCTCGATAGATAACTTCGTTGATTGTGAGTGGCATCGTGAAGCCGTCGACTGTGAGCTTACTGTCGAAGCGATAAAGATCCGCGTTGGGGTCCTCGGCAAGTAACTCGGCATTAGAGTAGGCGATTTGTTCGATCGTACCACAGTCAGGAAGCTTTGCTGGCCTTTGTTTGGATTTGAGACTGGTCTCGCCGTCCAAGGCCATCGTGTCGACATAGGCCACTCCTTCCTGCCCGTCGGCGTGCAACAGAACCATGTCTGCTGGCACATCCTCATCTCTTGAAAGAGATATGATTTCTCCCACCTTGAGATCTTTCCAGCTGACGCTCATCCACTGATGACCGGTGGGATTCGACCCTTCGTAGTACTCAGGTCCGGCGGCCAAGGAGCCCTTCGCTCCCGATGCGGCACTTCGAAGAGCCAAGGCCTTTCGGTTGTTCTCTGCCACATCTTGGCGATGTCGTTTCCAATCGTAGTACCCTTCCTTCGATATGATAAGTCCCAAGAAGATTACAAGAGGGATAAGTGTTGTAAATTTGCCAGTAGTGCTGAAGCCAGGGATCATTTGCAAGATGGAGATGATGAGCATGTAGGCATTGGCAAGTCGCGAAAACTGGTAAAGGAGTTGCCGGGGAAGGAAGTCGAAGACATTGTATTTAGAGGTCTTGATGCTGTTTGAGATGTACGGCTTCCCGCGACGTTCGTCGTGTAATGTAGACTTCTGTTCCAATCGGATCGGGATTCGACGACCAGCGGAGGATGGTGGCACACGGGATCTCGACAGCAAAGACTTGAAGCCTCCAAACCCCATGTTGGGTATCGTGGAGACTCGTTGTCTGTGAAAGACTGGTCGGGAATCTCGCAGAGGTAAGTCTGTTTGGTACAAGATTAGCCTGGTGTAGACTCTTTAGAGAATATCACAAAACCTACCACCGGGTAGCCTGTACGTTGTTGAATGCCTTTGCTGAATTCGCTGGGTATATCGAGAGGGTTGTTGCGGTCTTGTGTCATTTGATCGATGCTCACGTCGGGATAGCCTCTTCATATGTCCACGATTCTTTGCATCAACCCCAAGATGAATCGCTGTCAGTATATTTGGAATTGAGTGTTGGTCTGGTAGTCACCGTCCGCACGAAACTGACCAGAGATCAACATTTGCCAAGGGATCTAAGCCATGTCAAACACCCATACCCGCCTCGTTGGTGATGAACGCCCACCCGTAGCGGTCGGGAAGCACGGCCCTAGCAGCGGCTCGAGAGATTTCGAAAGAGAAAACGATAACGAGCCAAGACTACAAAAAGCATGATGTATCATAGAAATATGACCCTAGACAAGCTGCTACAGATGTAACGATCCACTACCTTACAGCATAGCCCCAATAGGAAGCTTCCGAGTACGAGATGGCCCCACGCCAGCGAGTCGTAGGTTTTGACGCCCTTCAGCCAACCACAACTCAGTTGCATCAGATCGCCAGCGGACTGTTCGAGATGGCCAACAAGGAGAAAGAGACTTACGTCTGTATGGGCAATACAACTAGCCTTGAACTGACTCAATACATCAATATATGTTTCACTTCTTGACAGTGGCTCATTCTTAAGGTTTCAGAGTGCCGGCACTGGTTGAGCTAAATCGGTAACAGCCATCGGGCTGGACAGTGCAACCTCGTTTTAGCGCCGCAAATGACGATCCTCGAGAACTTCGTAATCAGAATGGATGCCGAACTACTCTCAAGTCCTTTTGGCAGCGACATTATCAACAGTCGATACCTTTCAGGTAAACCCTTGGATCGAACCTTCGACGTTCGAGCATAATCAGCTATCACACCCACCACCATTCACCGCCAGTGGTCATCCCCTGCTGTCAAGACACAAAGCCCGACATTCTCAATTCGTGGAGAACGATAACGTTGAAAGCAGCGGACAATATTCGCCCAAAAGCGAACAATATGGGTTGGTCCAAGTCTGAAGATTCGCTTCAGTTGGAGAAATCGCGGAAGCCAAAGGCCACACCATTCAATCAACAACGCTTAAAAGCTTGGAAGTGCGTGATCCCCGATTCATGCCACCGATGGACCTTCTGACACTTATTCCTAGGCCAATTTTGACACCGAAGTCATCCATCAAAATTTTCCTTTCGCTTGGTGTCGTCTGCTTGTCTCTGGGAATATTCTGGCTAGTACAAAATGACAACGTACGCTGGACAAATTGGACCCTTGTCGAAAACCTTTACTCACAGATTTATAGATACGAGAGATGCGGATAGACTACACAAAATGCGATGAGATCGAATCCTACAACGAGCTTGAAGTTATGCCACCAGACAACGTCCAAAAACGCTTCAAGGCTTCATCAGCGGGTCAGCCCGTGGATCAGTGGAAAAGATCGAATCAGTCAATTACTTTCGACGGAGTTACCAAGAACTATACTCTTTGCACGATAGAGTTTTTCCTACCTGAAGACTTGCAGCCCCCCGTTCTGTACTACTATCGGCTCACGAATTTCCACCAAAATCACCGTCTCTATATCAACTCTCTTCATAAGAACCAACTAAAGGGCGACGCGGTCTCCTTGAGTAGCATCAAGAGCTCAGATTGCGCCCCCGTGGCATCAAGAAGCGCTCCCGGGAGTGCAGATGAGAAAATTGTCTACCCTTGTGGCATGATAGCCAACTCGTACTTCAACGACACTTTCAAGAACCCGCTGCGCATACCGAATGGCACAAACCGAACCGTTTCATACAACATGACATCAGTCGGTATCGCCAAGAGTGTTGAAAAGGGACTATATCAACCGAGCAAATACCAAGTACCGGTTACCGCCCAGTCCAATGACAGCGTCATCGTACCCCCGCCAGGTTGGGCAGAAAGGTACCCCAATGGTTATCATTCAGGCAACATGTTCAATCCAGCAGAAGATGAATCATTCATGGTGTGGATGAGAACATCTGCTGGCTCATCGCTCAGCAAGATGGCTATGCACAACAAAGACGAAGTGATGGAGAGAGGCATCTATCGCCTTGATGTTGTTTCCCGTAAGTTTTACACATCAAACCCTGATGCCTATGATAGGACTTAACAATGTGTGAAATGCAGACTACCCTATCCGTGAAAATCGTGGCACAAAGTCTATCATCATTTCTACAACATCTGGCATCGGCCGGCGCAACAGCTTCTTGGGAAGATCTTATCTCGCAATTGGATCCGTCAGCATGTTCTGCGCCTTTATCTCCGCCCTGAGTTTGCGATACCGGCCTCGTAGATTGGCAGACCACGATTATCTGCACAGGCACAGCTCGCAAACTTTGCAGCGCGAAGGGAGCAATGGGCCTATGTTACGGACAACCAGCCGATAATCGGATCATAGTGAGAACACGATGTGAGAGATGAGGGGTAGAGAGGGCCGGTTTCTGTAATGTGCTATACTGGCCTGGTCCGATTTTGTGGTGTCTTGTTGCCTATAGTAGATGGTTATGGTAAATCAATGATGAACTTTGAAATGACGTATTGAACACAGATATGAATTGTGAGGCGGTACTCGAAATACAAATACTGTTCATACAAACAAAGAGATTTTGATAAATGAAGAGTGCATTTCTCCTCCACCTTTGTTAGGAGAGTTCGACTGATATTACGGTATTGATATTTTTGACTCTAGCAAGTATGGTTTTCGAGTTCCGCTCATGTACGCATGTATGTTCACATGTTGGTACATGCTTCTTCAGTCAAGAAGTAAGCATGAGTACAGTGGTATTTGTTCGCAATGACAGGCTTGCTTGTGAAATTAGTCATGTATTTGGGCACAGGACGTGCAAGCCTAATTGAGTTCACCTGCGGCGAATCATATTTGGTTCGGTCTCACAGCGCGGGATCAAATCTCCTCCGAATCATACCCCCGTAGAAAAACAGACCAACAGGTACCGGCACCAGCGCCAAAGACATGAAGCCTAATAGACTGTTTCCCCATCCCAAACCCAAGGCATGATACATTTTTAACCCTCCCAGAGGCATCAAAGCGCCAATCAGAGATCGGGATAGTGTGACAGCTGCCGAACCTGACGCTGCATACCTTTCGTACGAATCGATTTGGTAATTTTGGACACACATCTGTAAACGTCAGCTGTCGGAGCGTCATGCAAAGAGTAGAAAGGCCTACCGTAACTCCAGTGAGTCCACCAGACAGGATGACTACGCCTATCATGGGAACAATCCAGTGAACCTTGTATTCGGTCGTCCAGCCATAGATGAACAGCCCAATCGGTATCGTGAGGCCGGCCGGAATCGTCAACCACGGCGTGATTTTGACTTCAGGCCTGTACTTCTCATCTGGTTTCATTCCCTCTTTCGCCTTCTTGACAAGATAATCTTGGACGTTGCCGAAAGTCATGACACCAATAATCATCCCAAGTCCAGCTGGTAGGAATGCCAAGCCAGCATCACCTTCGCTGAAGTGATATTGGTCGGTATAGACAAATGAGAATGTAGCGATTAGTAGGTAAAGTATTCCGTAGGCGATCCCGACGTAGGCAGCAATGATGGACACCAAAGGCGTCATAAAGAGAAACTTTAATGGACGGATCACGGCTCTCTGTATCAATCTCTTTCCATCTCTGTCAGCCTTTGTTCGCAGGGCTTGATTTCCGGTTTCCTTTCGTAGTCGGCGGGCTTTGCGCTCCAGCAAGATCGGCGCATATGTTTCCCGCATAATCAACAGGGCCAGAATGCTGCAAATACCACCCTTTGAATGTTAGCTTTGGACGTTGAAAGTACGATTTCATCGACATACCAAAATCGCAAGTAGCCAATAGACCCAACGCCAGCCGGCAGCCTGGATCAGATATCCTCCCGCGACAGGCCCAATGGAAGGGCCCAGAAGAGGACCAATTGCCCAGAGTGAGATTGAGCGTCCGCGTTTCTCAATCGGCATGACATCGACGATGCTTCCAACACCAATAGTTGTGGGAACTGAGCCGACAACACCCATTAAGAAGCGAAATGCCATGAGCATATCGATGCTTGTGCTCAGAGCAGCACCCACGCAGAAAGAAACGAATAAGACGTTGCTGATATGGTAGATGTAAACACGGCCATAAAGCTCGCTCAAAGGCGCTACCACCAGAGGTCCAAAGGCGAAGCCAAGGAAGTAGATTGAGGTGATGAAAGTTGCGATGAGAGAATCGTTGGTCTTGAATTCTGCGAGGATTCTAGGAATTCCAGGGGCGAACATAGATGAGCCCTACGATTGATTGTAAAATGTTAGCTCTGTGTCGTTATATATGACGGGTACGAGGATGTCTATGTACCAGTGGGCTTCAAAGAGTTAGTGAGATATTAGGTTTCCAGTCGATCGCGGGCGTTTAACTTACGAGATAACAGTTAAAAGCGACATCAAGGCCAAATTGATCCATTTTCTAGAATCGGGCCAGTTCATAGGATTTTGCGGATCGTCGGGTCCGTCCCAAGTGACGACATTTCTATCGTCCTCTTCTGAGATTTCTCCTGAGCTTACCTCAGAGGGAATCTCTTCAGGTCCCATTTTGGCTGGGGAAGGCTCTGTTGGCATATTCTCAGTATGCTGGTTTGCGGTGGAACTAGACTCCGTGGTTCCCTTCATTATGCCGCTGTCACTCATGGGCTAAGATCCGCGGTATAGATGTAGGGAAGACAGTAAGAAAATTTGATGTGTAGTGATTGAGCGATATCAAATAAGATCAGATTACACAACGAACGGGCGCTAGATAGAGTCCGGAGATCACGTAGACTAAGCTGAGAGTTAGGCACCACCTAGCCAGGTACAAGGCGATGGTTCCCGCGTAAGTCGTATCAAGCCGTACTGATGACATCCTCACTGGACTGGGTATCTCCATAGATACTCCGCTTGTCTTATTTTCTCTATCCGCGATCTCGAAATCCGCTCCCATGTGTGATTCCCATCCTCTGACCCTTGATCGCTATCGCATACTGGTTTAAGCAGACGTGAAATCCCACAATTCGTGAGAGCGTTCGCGTTGCTGAACACGACTTGGACCAATTTGCCTGGAGAAGTAGTGGATCTATGGATTCTTGAGCCGCGATTGTTGCCAAGCGCTCAGGATGTCTAGGGTAGCGTGGATCCTGGTCCGTTGCTTTTGTCGATCAATCGCTAGCTCCCGCTCGTACCTCGTTCTCGTTATCGCACCCCCCGCAATGAAGGTGCAACAACGACAACGACAACGACAACGAATGTACACCAGAGAGTCAATGTTCGAGCCAATAGCATAGCCATCGCGTTTGAGCTCTTAACCCTTCGACGCGTAACTTCATCCTCGTAAGAAATGAAATACTTGGTCAGCAAGATCGACATCTAGCCACTTACCGCAGTAGCTACGTATGCAAACCACGACTCAGGAGCTTGGCTATGTCAGAAAAGAGCCGTATTCTCGAATACTTCCATGCCGAACCCCGTTTCCGGCCCGTTCCTTCTGCAATGATTAATTTGCGGCACGGAGTTGAGATCAAATTTGGTGACCGATCCAGGCCCTCGGAATTTGAAACGAACACCTGCTGCCACAGCTGTCCATCCGAGGGAAAAGTCCATGCAACATCAACCAGTAGCAGTCCGTGGGACTATCCTTCCTTTCTGATCTTCTTCGTTTTCGTACCTGTTTGTGATTTGCTGGTTCCTCCAGGTGGCAGTATTACAAGTTCCTTAATTCGTGGCTCAGAATAGGTTTGGGACTCTATTTCTGGTCTTAGGGATCAACCACTGTTCGAATTTAACTTGAGCGACTTCAACTTCTACATCCTTTCGTTTAACTTGGCCAATTTTAGACTCAGCCTTGTAGATGAGGTTGCAGCAACTAAGAGAGATTTGACGGGCCGCAACAGACCACAGGTTCGGCAAGTTCAGGCTCTTGCTGTGCTACAGTTTGCAAAAGATATATCTAATACAGGTAACCCTATTCATTCTTCTAAACTCTCCAGTAACAACGCCAAACGCTCATTACATCGGCTTTAGTCAGGATGGGACTTCTACATAGCTTTCTGACCGCCATAACGGCATGCACTATTTTCGTAAGTCAATCAGAGTCGCACGAATTAATAATCTCTGAGTTAACAGCCAACTAGATTGCAGTATACACAGCATCATGCATCTTCTACAACCTGTTCCTTCATCCACTTCGGCACTACCCAGGGCCAATCTCCATGAGAGCAACAAGATGGACCTTCTGCCACAGACTCATCAAGGGCGCCCTTCCTATGGACGTCTTGGAGCTTCACAAAAAGTACGGAGACGTAGTACGCGTCGCTCCAGACGAGCTGGCCTACTGCAACGTCAACGCTTGGAAAGACATCATGGGCCATCGGTCCGCAGGCTCGCCATCCTTCGAAAAGGCACTGAAATTCTACCGGCCGACGGCCGAGCAACCCATCAACATCGTCAACACCAACGGCGCAGAGCACGCGATGCTGAGGCGACAGCTCTCTCACGGCTTCAGCGAGCGCAGTCTCCGCGACCAGCAGCCCCTGATCATGAAGTACGTGGACCTCATGATCCAGCGCCTGCACGAGAATTGTTCCGGCGAAGAACCCGTTGACTTGATGGCGTGGTATAACTTTACGACATTTGACATCATTGGGGATCTGGCGTTTGGTGAACCGTTTGGATGCTTGGAGAAGTCGGAGTACCACCCGTGGGTGAAGGCTATCTTCTTGTCGGCTCGCCTCGGTGTATTCGCGCAGACCGCGGGTCATTTTCCCTTCTTGAAGAAAATCATCTTTACGCTTTTGGCGGCGAAGGCGGCGAAAAAGGCTCGTGGCGAGAATTTGGCCAGGGCCAAGGCCAAGTTGGAGAGACGCATGGAGCTCGGCAAGAAGGAGGGCGGTAGGCCTGATTTGATTGAGGGTTTGTTGAAGAAGAAGGACGAACTGGTAGTCATCCTCCCACGCCACTTTTGACACTATCCCCAGGTTTTCTCACTAACGATTGTTGAAATAGAACATCTCGTTCGAGACACTTGCGGCAAACAGCAACACGCTCATCATTGGGGGTTCCGAGACGACCGCAACATTACTGGCCGGAGTCACCTACTACCTCCTAATGAATAGGGACTGTCTGGCTAAGCTGTCGGACGAAGTGCGATCTTCCTTCAAGACGGAAGAGGAGATTGACTTGGTTTCCGTCAATAAGTTGACCTACATGCTCGCTTGTTTGGACGAGGCGCTCAGAGTCTACCCTCCGGTCTCCATGGGCCTCCCAAGAGTCACACCCAAGGGCGGAGCGACTATTTGCGGAAAATTCGTGCCTGAGAATGTGAGTTCACCTCTCATTTTCTACCTGTATGTGATTACTAACGATACTGCTATTAGACTATCGTGGCGATCCACCAGTGGGCCATCAACCACAACGAGAAGTACTTCAAAGACCCGTACGGATTCCACCCCGAGAGATTTATGGGAGATGAGGAATTCGCATCAGATAACAGGGAGGCTTTTCAACCTTTTCACATTGGCTCGAGAAATTGCTTGGGGCGAAAGTGAGTGTTGTCGCCCGACTGCGTTTCCGGGGAATGTGTTGCTAACCGCTGCAGTCTGGCCTATTTTGAGATGAGACTCATTCTGGCTCGCCTCATTTGGAATTTCGACATTGAGATTGACGAGGACGATAAAGACTGGGCTAAGAAGCAACAGGTCTTTATCTTGTGGGATAAAGGCCCCTTGAAGGCGCGCTTGACACCTGTAATGCGATAGAGCACTGGAATGTTTTTGGTATCAAAACCATGGGCATGTAAGAGGTCAGGCAGGCAGATCCTGTATGTTGAGAATAGGAGTTATTGATAGAAACTACCTTTTCTTCGTGATTTATGAGAGGTCTTCATCCGAAACCTTGTTCTAGCGTCGTAGTGATCCTTCGGCGGCACGCTCGTCTCGTCAACTTACACACCCCGTCTGAACTGGTGATTATGTCAGCACGGACTATTCGTGAAATTCAGCTTACGATCTCACCCCTGATGTTTTCCTCAACTGACCGAATGCGGCGCGGTCACGGTGAAGCGGCTGTCATCAACTCACGCAATTCGTCAATTCGGATACAGAACGAAGGTATCATTCTGTCTTATCATCGAGTCAGCCCAAGCCGTCGTCATGTCTACCTCAGCAAGGAATTGGCGCGACAGCGCGTATCTCGTCATCTCTGGCATCCAGCTAACGGCCATGCTTTGTGAGTCCGCCCTCTATCGCTTTGCCTCAATCGGTATTGTGATGTGCCGGCATGCTATGAAGTTTTTATGGAAACTTTCCAGCGGAAGACTGACGTCGTGACTGAGCGTCTTGATTGCTGGGCCGTCCCAAGTCTTCCAGCACCCTTCACCACGACTCACCTCTAGAGCCAGAGCTGACTACCCTCACATCAGTGGTCGATCTCGTCCCATTCTACCCATCAGCTCTCTACGCGGCACCATCATCGCCATTGCACTTCCTCCAAGTCCTCCGCGACTTCTACATCTCCACGTACAACGACCCCTTCTTCACCGCGTCTCACGAGAACCTCCCCTCGTGGTTCAAGCTCTTCACCTACATCGAGATCGTCTACCAGCTGCCCATGGCTGCCTGGATGGTCTACAGGTTCTCAAGAAGCACTGGCACAACTGCCGGATTCGAACTCGCCGTGCTCGTATTCTGCGTCGAGTGCGCCCTCACGACGTTGACCTGCATCTACGACGTCTTCCACTGGGATCCTGCCGTGTACAGCCAGGCTCAGAAGAACGTCTTTGTCTTTAACCTCTACGGCCCATGGGTGGTCATTCGTATGTGCAATCAACATCTACGATCTTCCTCTGGAGCAAGCTAACCTGAATAGCGGCGCTGATGGGATTGGACATGTGGCTGCGCATCCTGAAGCGGGTGAACGCCGCAGACAGCACCAAGAAGTTGCAGTAAAAGGAGTTCACTGAGTCTTCTTTGAAGCGGGTGTTGGTTCCATTAAGATATCGCTACAAATCCTGCTCCAGTCAGCCCGCGCATGCGCGGATCCAGATGATCGATTCCAAAACTCCTTTTCCCCAGTCCAAGTGCGCAAGGTCAAGGCCATCCCAGTTTAATTCGTCCATCAAAATAAAACTCCCATCATCCATCATAAAAGCCTCTCAAAGAGGGGGCGGCTAGCGGATATACATGAATCGGATCAAATCGTACAGATTTCTCGTGACGCGAACGCTTTGTTGATGCTTTCTTTCAATCCATCCTCTTGGCCGCTTTGGAGTAGCCCCAACCGTTGCCAACGCCGTTGAGACCGTTGAGACCGTAGCCGAGTGGCGTCGCGCCGCCCATGCCTCTTCCGCGTACCCTCTTGGGCAAAACAACTCCGAAAAAGTACGTTGACGCGACGAGCACGCCTGCCATGAAGGAAGTGATGATGTAGAAGACGGTGCTCGCGTAGACGTGCCCGCCCATGCCCTGCCACTCGACGTGGCCCTCCGACTTTGGCAGGTTCGGCGTCGGGAACCATCTGACAGACAATCGTAGCGGCAACGGATCACCAATCACAAGTCTCTTTGTGTATATCCCGTCCATATGGCTCAATGGGCTCGTGCTATAGGCCGTTCCGGAATCGAGGACACCCGAGTCATGGGGTCGGGTGTGGTGCTTCGGCATGCTGTGCAGGAGCACGTTCATGTGCGTGCTAACGTGCAAGTGGCTCAGCTGGAGGGTGCCGGCGAGGGCGAAGACGAGAGGGATGTATTCCTGCACGTAGGGCTTCTCGCCGACGGTCTCAACGTGAGGCGCGGGTCGGGCTGGGAGACGGCAGGCGAGAGGTGCGTCGTTGTGGATGAAGAACTCGAGGAGGTGAAAGAATGGATCGGAGACCATGGGGATGGTGCAATTGACTTCGCCTTCGTGTCCGTATTGAAACTCGAGGGGCTTGTTGGTTTCTTCGCAGGAGGGGAAGGGGATCCATTCGATTTCGTGATTGGAGTTTTCAATATGTTCGCCTGTTTCGCTGAAGAGGTGTTAGCTCGAGCTCGAGCTGTAGCTAAAGGTAGTCGAGACGAAGCTGTTGGGGATAAGTAGGAATGATTGCGGACAGGTACTCACGAGCTGCGGTTCATGCACTCTACGTGGATGGGTGCGCCGTAGTGGTACGAAGGGAGGCCATCTTCGGGATGCGCAGCGAGGACGCCGGAAGCGCAGAGAGCGACAGCGCCCAGGAGTAACTGCGCGAGGGACGCCATGATGTGTGTGCGCGGATGGAATAGTCGGTGATCGTGCAAGCGGCAAGATGGAGAAAGGGTCCTAGCAGATCGACCGGGGCATTTCCTTGACTCGGATGGACGCGCGACGGGGGTGGGAGCTATTCCGGGCCAGCTTTCCCCGGAGTTTGACTGTGGTTCTCAAATCAATTTGACAGCTGTCGCCGAAGCTCTGTGCAGCCTCGATAAGATAAGAATATCCACCCGCCCCAGTAGGTAACAAGGTACCTTTGAGTCACGTGCCGTGCCTCTTCACACTATGTCATTTCATTCTATCACGAGTTATAGCACACAGTAATAGGCATACGGAGTATAATAAAACAGCTTAACCTATTAAAATATGAATAAATGAAAAAGAAAGTTCTATAGATAACGTCTGTATAAATATAATTAAGTATCGGGCTACGGATGGTGGAAGGTCTCAATTAGGGGTTGGTTCAACTGGGAGCGGCGAACAGCCTATCTCGTTGGCAACACACTTCACATGTGTTTGGATGGCATACAGGTGGGAGGTTCTGATGAGCACATGCTCATGAGAGTATTGCGAAATATCAAAAACAAACCTACCTTGAGAATGTACTGGACGGCTTTTACGTCACCTATAAAGTTCTCAAGTGTGTAACTGATATCCGGGTGTAACGCACCATATCTGTTGAAGATAATGTAGAATGATGATGTTGTGACCGCCGCACACCAGGCTAGGGTCATCAAAATACCCCTTCTTAGAACACGTCCTTTTTGGATGTTCAGTCGTTGATGGAGTCGTGCGCAGATGATGATAGCTGAAGCACAATGAGTGTGCAAATTGTGGCCTGGAATGCATCAGTTGTCAGCAAGGATATGATACCGCTTCGGTCGCAGACGAAGGATCATAGCGGCATCTTGACTAGATTAACCGTCTTTGGTGTATGTTCCTAAACAAGAAAGATTCTTACCAAAAAGGTGGCACCTGTTGGACCGTCAGTCACAGTAGCTGGATAAGCCATGATCACAAACTGGTGAGAAGAAAGCCCCCCCTTTTTGTCTTTTTGAAGAAATCGAACGTTTCTTTGGCTAAATTGGGAATAAAATTCTCTCAAACCCTCATCGAGGGGGCATGCAGTGGGAGCTTTCGTCTCTTACACGCTCTGTTGTGACAACTAAACCTTCCAAGGAGTGATTAAAACCCATTCATCTCTCCTTCATGCGAACGCCCCGTGCCAGGGCGGCGGTACTAAGATCCTTCCCAAGACGGGGATTTCTTCAAAGAGAGAGCTTTCGACCAGTGCCCAGACAGCGCTGCCTCCTTGCGATTGCCCGACCCTAATCCATTCTAGAGTTAGTGCTTCCCCGAACAACTTCTGTGCAGCAGAAATTGAGAAGTAGAGGTTGTGCGCTTGTGCGTGAGAAGCCATGTACTGATGGAAGATATGGTTATTCCCCTGGCTAGCGTAGTCTGTGGCCTTGGATTAAAACAACGCAGACGAACTAGTGGCGTTTCTCTTTTCCGGGGTAGGGCGACTTAATCGCCCCCTCCTTCATTCGTACCACATGGAGGTGCGGTCCCTTGTGATTGTTTCCAGAACGTGTGGGTGTGCAAGAAATAATGGAAGGATGCTCCTGAACTCCGTGGCTGGAAAATCAACCAATGGCCAGGAGGTCCGGGTACGAAGCGGCATGAAAATCGCTTAGCCTGAACCTTCTATAGGGTGATGTTGTAAATGACATTTCCTCTCAACTATTGAGGAGTCCATCGATTATGCATGGCAGCCACATCAATATTGGGGAAATCTCGTTAGAGGCGAATCCTATCAAAATAACAAGTAGTTAAGGCTGCATAAAAGATCAAATAGGCCTCACCACTCCTCCCCAGGAAGGAAGTTTGACCATATCATTAATGCCCCAACATGGCCTCATCTCCCAACATAGCTGCGGACATTGTCATTGCGTGCATATGTGGGACTTTGATCCTGTCACGATGTGTGTATCGCATATATCACCGGTGCAAAGGCCATGCAGGGTCTCATCGACTCTGGCATGGTGATGATATCTTCATGGCCGTTGCACTACTCCCGCTCGTAACACGAACGATCTGTATTTCACTGTCTTTTTCGCTTAATCCCTCCCATATTCGAGAGCCTCCGACCGAGAGAGAGGCTTCAGCCGAGAAAACAACTCTCGAGACGCTTCGGCATGACCGGATTCTTGGACTCCAGCTACTCATTGGTGCGCGATTGGGCTATGCGCTTTTGTACGACCTCCGCCCCCAGCCTGCCATCGATAGTATACTAAACCTTGTAGTCTTTGGTGCTTAAAGGCTGCACTTCTTTCATTTTACTCTCGTTTCGTTCAGATGGTGGCCTGGAGCAAGATCGTAGTCACGGCACTATGGTGGGTTTTGTCTGCTTCTGCTGTAATAGTCATTATCGCAATTACAGCCGAGTGCCGTCCAATATCGCTGTAAGTACCACCTGAAGCAGCTTCCGATGCCTTTTCTTAACATTTCTAGGATGTGGAAGCTCACTTCCGAAGAACAAAGTACGCGATTTATCCCTTTGCCACCGAGTCTGGCTTTTCTCCTGCTGACGATCACTGACGTAAAGCAGAGCCAACCTGTGCAGATGGCATGGTGTACTTTATCGCTATGGCAGTTTGCAACATCACAACTGACATTGCACTTCTCATCTTGCCATTTCCAACACTGGCTGTCGTTAGACTGAATCTGAAGACGTTAGTGAGCTACTCATGATAACGATCTACATAGGACTGACGAATGCCAGTAAAATCCAGCTCGCTGTCCTATTCAGTATCGGCATTCTACTAATCGCAATCACTATTGCACGTGTACCGTTAACTTTACAAGATTCTATGTCCCAAAGTTCTCGATCCACTGTAGGTATTCCAGTTGCAATCTATTGGAATGAATTCATGTTTCTAACAGGGGACAGTGGGCCACAATCGAGATCTTATGTAGCTGCATAGTTGCGAATACGCCATTCTTCTACGGGATTATACGAGAACTTCAATCATCAGTGACTGATGCAAGTCGGTCAGGAGGAACGGTCTACATATCGAGGAAGGGATTGGATCAAAAGTCTTACGAGCTGGAGCTGGGTCCTACAAACAGTGTAGGAAACAATAGTTCTCAGGAACTCGTCATGTCACCATGATATGTTTTTTTCGCCTTACCACTATGAAAGAGTTCTTATCAACTTCACTTTTGATAGTATCGATCATGCTGCTCTCAGACTAGCTCATGATCATTGATGAAATCGTCACATTTTCTTCTCTGAAAAGGATTCTCGATGTGATGATATCCCTGGCACTAGTCCAGTGTTCCGTATGGGCGCCGACCCTGACGCGGCGGCGGCACGCCTTGTGGGCCAGCACTGGTCGGGTGGTTAGAGCTCGGCGGACTATGACCCTTGTTCCCGTCCCCAGACGTGTGGATCTAGTATCAGAATAGGCGCGGTGGCCTAGCGACACGCCTTGGACGCTGACATTGGCAGGGGCGGTCGAATGTGGGCTGATCGGATAGCAAGGCCAGGAGTGAGACGCCAGCCTAAGTGTGCGACTACTTCGATGACTTGGCGCTGTCTGGGCACTGGTCGAAATCTCTCTTAAAAGAAATCTCCGTCTTGGGAAGGATGATCTGTCGACATGTTAGCTGACCACACCAAGCAGAAATACTCTAGCCTAATGGCCATTTACACTACCAGTCGAAACAAGGCGCCCTCATCACAGCCCAGTCAAGCCACTACACAGACACAGTAGCCCTGTCTGACGCTCGAGCACTCTGTTCTGAGGGCATCGACTTCTTTGTGTGGATCGGGTAAATACCAGGCTGCAGCCCTATTCCTTGTCTTCTGTCATCCCCAGACTAGTCGTCTCGTATTGACATAGCCACTACCATGTCTACGAATGACCGGTGACCAGCACCTACGCCACTTGCACCGCTATCCTGCTAGTCAGCCTCGCTTGTGTTGACGTCCTCGCCCGGACGAGTCGAGTAAGACGGTGACTAGCCCACTAGATCAATGTTGAATGACAGTTGAGCTACCGCTTGCCCGTGCATCTTCACACTTTCTTTTCTCATCTCCTGTGACCCTGAATAATTCCAGATGCAGGTACGATTGAGAGGAGTCTCATCGCTTCCGAATTCGCTCTGACGGCTGTCTCTATTTGTCTTGTTAGTGGCACGTCGTACTTAGACTAGACCTAGCTTTCTCGAAGCCTAGATTCGTTCTATTATGCTTCTTCCCCTCGGGTCAAATCAGGGGCTAGGGGTATCCATGATCGCGTACCCCCTGTATGCTTAAACTAGTTCCGCAAGCAAAGCCCTGGTCTTCCAGTGTGTCGGGTATCTGGATAAAATGCGGGCACTGTCTACCAATACCGTGCTTCTTGTTGACTCTGTAAGGTAGGTAGTTCGTGGTAGAGCCATTGAGTGCGGAAGGAGGATGGAAGTTCGCGCAGGCCCGAGCAACTAGTAGAGTGAGGCAGATGCACTTGGACAGTGTATTGTCCTGCCAATGTCTGACAAAAGTCAGGTAAACTGCCCGCCATCTTTATCCGCCATCTTTATCCGCCAACTCACTGCCTCGGCCTTTATTCTCTCGAGCCAAAAACCCTTCTGTTTTCTATAAACTAGACAATCCGAAATTCCCACCATCCCCTACATGTTATGGCAAATTGTACCTCTCCTAAGCATTGCGGCCATCAGGTTTACCGAATAAAATATCCAGAGATTCCGGCCTTCCCAATCGCCCCAAGAGGACGAACGGTTCAATTTGAGCTTCGTAAGAAAAGTAACACTGAGCCTTACAAAGTCGTGTCTTCGAGCCCACACGCTGAGTGATGTTGCCAAATACCAAAAGTCTAGGGCATTCGCAGTGAAGGAATCTTTTCCATAAGTTTTCCTCGCGAGTTCCGCTAAGGCGGCGTGGCCGTCCAGAACTTCGATTAAATCCGGATCGTCTTCACTAGTCTCTTGTTGCGCAAACAAGTATCTTGCTAACAGAGCGCTCACGTCTACCGTACCTCGTAATTCCACAAAAAGATCAGCGTTGATCTTAGCAATCTGCTTCAAACAGTCCCAAAGCTTGTTTCTGTCTCTCGTGCCGATGCGAAACAAGTTTTTCGCGATTCGAACGATCGGTTGCCCCTCAATTTTGATGCTGAAAAGCTGCCAGATATAGTGCAGTTATAGTTGAGTCTCTCGGTCCCTCGCTAATTGACAGAGAAGCGTCGGTATTTCTAAGATCAGGACTTGGAAGACAGTGCATGGATCTTCCTCGGCTAGTGCGTCGAGATCACGAAATGCCTGACGGAGGGCAACACCGGCGTACTTCATGTGGCCCAATCCAAGCTGATCCATTGCCAAACGAAATTGTAGGAGAACATCAACACTTCCTGGTGCGTAAATAAGCGTTAGTTTTGATGCGTTTCGCCAAGTAGGGCTTTGCCGCGCACTTCCGCGAATTAGATCGTAAAGGCTGGCATATAAAACCTCGGTCCACCTGTCGGTCTCACTGCCATGGAGCATTGATCTAGGCATAGCCCTCTCGGTGACCAATCTAAGGGACTGGGAGAATGGGCTGGTGGAAGTAGCTGCTAAAGCAGCGCTCCCATTCGTCTGCCAGTCACCAAGCTGTTGTCGACGCGGTCTCCTGCAAGTAGGGTTTCTCCCCCGATATTGGCCGGATTTGCCATCGAAGTGACCTCGTTCACCCCTTTTGTTGTTGTATTTTCTCCAGTCCCATTTCAAGAACTGTCTCTTGTACATTCTCTCGCTTCGTTTCTTTTGCGTTAGTCCATTTGTTAAATAGTTCGAAGTATGTTGTTGCAAATGAGTAAGTGAAATGATCTAGGTATGGGTGTCTTACGTGGCTGAAAAGGAATAACCTTTTGACATGATCTCCATGGTATCCTTCAGAGGCAAGTTGTCTTCCATATACAGCTTATGAAGAGTCACCTTCTGGGCTTCCCAGTCGCTCGCATTCTCGGGCCTGATTTTGTAGGGACGTTCTCCAGATTGGTGGAACGAATGTGAAAATGGCGCGACTTGAGATTGTATCAGGGAAGTTCGCATCGGGACTTGCTGATTCAACAACCACGTCGGACCCGGTGAGGTGAGTGTTTCTGTACAGTCTCTCACAGCACCGCCGATGAGAAGAAGGTTCAGTTCATGATTCGCGCTGCTGTACAGCACAGTGTCTGCTGGTCGTATGTATGTGAGTTCTTGGCCGTGGTCCATGTTGGCGGTGGATCGAGCACCTCAATTGAGGGCGCGATGTTGCAAGGAGACAAAAGTTTTTAGTGTAGTCGGAGTTGATGACACAATTTGTTGCTGAGGTATGAACTGCGTGTCAACTTCGATCAAGCTCGTTTGTTCTTGGTTTATATATTGGGCCAGGCCGGGGTCTAGCAGGGCTCGCGACCGAAAGGTCGAAATCAGGCTGGGTGGCCAGACATACTAGTACGCCTGGGCCTGTGAGGTCTTTTTAAACACACTGCAACTGCGATTGGACGCCTCCCTGTGTGTCAGAATCAAGGGGGTTTTTCACGGACCAATGAAGCCTGGCAGGGTACTTTCAATGTAATGACGTTGGGTCTAAAAAAGCCTTGCGTGTCTGCATTCTCCAACTAAAAGACCTTCGCATACGATTCTCTCAGCTCTTGATGTTTATGCCAAGTTCTTTCACGAAAGTCTTGGTGCTCCATCCATTGACCTTTGTGTACTTATCAGTACTGGTCGTTCCATTCAACACATCGTACGCCACCGATCTCAGGTTGACACAGTCATCCTTGTTCTGTATGCACCCAACAACAGCCTCACCCGCGTTCTTGCCCTCGTAATATGCACCCTGCAAGAACCCAAAATATTGCGGATGGGTGGCTTCCCCAGCAAACCACAAGTTGCCGAGGTTGGCACGGATGTTTTGATGCATCTCCAACGTCAGGGCCGGGGGCCAGTTTGAGTATGACCCGTATGCCCATGGCTCGCGGGTCCAATTATGGTGGTAGAAGTCAATGGGATCAGGAATCTCCTTTTGGAACATGTCCTTCAGAACGTCCATGATTTGTTTCTTCGTAGTGTCGAAGTCCTGAGCCTCCACGGCGTAAGATTGCTGGTCAACGACGGTGACAAAGATGATACCAGAGCCATCCACGAAGTCTTTGTGATCCAGTGACTGAAAGTAGGGATAGTAGCCTCGCTGTACCGGATCTGCGTAGAGGAAAAATTGAGTACTCTTGTCCCAGAACACGTCTTCTGGCTTGAATTGCATGAAGATCTTCGTGTAGGTACCCATGGTCATCGACTGAATGGCCGTTCGTTTCCAGGGCGGCAGCTTCGGCGAGAAGTTGACCACCTCCTTCTGCAAGACACCCAGTGAAAAAGTGCAGATGGCGTAGTCGGCGACGATGCAAGTGCCGTCCTGGTTATGTACTGTGACACTGTCGTCAGAGTAGGTAATGTTCTGGACGATCGTCCCAAGCCTCAGCTGGGTGGTCTCGTTCAGGAAAAGCTTCGCTTCTTCCCTGAAGAAAGTGGCGAACCCCCGACCATCGTGTACCAGATTGTTCTTATCAGCCCAGCGCTGGAATGATGTGTTGGTGTTGACTACGGAGTACTGTTGGGATGTCTTCTCCGGTGGATTGGCATATTCGAAGTCTATGGCAGACCATTCGATAGCTTGTGCTAGCGGATCACTGCCCGGCTTCCAGCCTGCAATTGCGAGACCGGCACGGGCACTGCGGTCTTGCTGATTTTTCAGAATGATTTCGCCAGCGTCAAACTCATACTGTGTCGTGACATCCTCGAATAACTTGTCCAACTTCTCGAACTTGTCTGTCCATTCTCCGGGCGGCAATTGGCCAGTCTCATTGAAGACTGTGACGTTATCGAAGTCGGAAAGCGTATTTGTCAGGTTGTACTTGTTAACCAGAGTCAAAATCGGATTTTCCTCTGTTTCACTTTCCGTTCCTTGAACCCTGTTTGAATTGTAAATAGGCTGTCCAGAAACAACATCAGAGATATTTAGGAGCTACGTACCAGTTCGCACCAAGCTCTACAAAATAGGACTCATTTGTACCTGGTTTCTTTCCAAAGGGTCGATTGTAAACGCGTCCACCAATCCGATTATTGTACTCTACGATGACAAAATCTGTGATGGACGCATTTACCAGTGTTTGGGCAGCCGTAATTCCTGCGAGGCCAGCACCGAGAATGGCTACTTGAACCCTGCTGCAGTTCCCCTGAGTTTCTGCAAGAACTTCTTTAGTCGGCGCCGTCTGCGCAAAGGGAGCGAGAAGGGCAAGTACGCCGACAAAACGCGCAAGTGACAGCATCATGAAGAATGTCGATGGACCCTGACGATCTTGCGTTTTAACTAATGAAGGGGACAGCCTAAAGCAATCAAGGAGAACACATAGCGCTCGAGGAGTATTAGGACTTTTATACTTCTGCTTCTCTGAGTCGTTTTCGGCGCCAAAGACTCTTGCCAAGGGGGATGTCTTGGTGAATTCCGACTCACCTCGTGAGCAGCGGGCGGCTTGTTCCAAAAGAGGCATCGCCAACTTTCACGGCTTCGAGCCGTTGGCCTCGAATCCGCCCAGGTCTCACATCATGGACATTGGGTATGGTTCAAAGAGACAACGTAAGTACTTCTCAATGTTCATGTCTCTACTCGTGAGGTCTACACTAGTCATGTCGTTCTAGTATGGCATCTTAGCAGTCACTCTGGCCCATGCCTATTGTTCCACTATTTCTCCCTCAGGTGCGGCTCGGGCCAGATGCGGCTACCGCACATCACGAGTGTGCGACAGGCAAATTCACCATGATCGTGTATCGACGAATAGTAACGTGAGTCTGTAGGGCTAGCCAAGCCATAATATCTAGCAAATAACTTTGTTTTCAGCACATGAGAGAAATTAAGTGAGGTATGGGATCAAATAAGACACATCAGCCGCACAAACAAACGCCACAATGTTGGTTGAGAGGCACCCCGCGCATCCGGAACTGTTTTTATCATGGCTCCGTCTAAGACACGACTACCTACAAAAGTAAGTAGTACCCCGCCCTTAAAAGGTATTTAGGCAACCCTATAGTCTTCGAACCCCATAAATCACTCTCTTTTACCTATTTATAATAATAACCTAGAAATTATAAACTCTAGCTTTTTATTAATTTTAATAAATAATAATTTTCTAATTATTAAAATTAATAATAATAATATTTAAATACGTATTTAATAAATAATAACTTATTAACCCCTAATTTTTATATAACTTATAATTACTTATTATAAATAATATTTAAATATTAAAATTTTATTTTTAAATATACTTTATACTAAAGTATTAATTTTATTATTTTATTTATAATTAATTAATAATAATAGTTTTTACTAAAAACCTTAATTTTAACTAATTAAGTTAACTTTTATAATTAATAAATAAGTTTTATAATAAATAAAAATAATTATTTTAATTATAAGCTTCAGCCCTATTTTATAAATCGAATATATTTTTTAAAATAAATTATTAATATTTAGGATATTTTTAAAAATATTTTAGTTTAAAATAAAGTAGAGTAATTAAATATAAAATAAATGAAATACTTCGAGTATTTTAATATATTAATACTATTAATATAAGAATAAGAAGTAATAAACTCGATTTATTAGTTATAATTTTAAAAAAAATTAAAAAAAAGGGATTAGTTAGTTTAGAAAATATAGACCTAGCTTAAGTAGTAATATATCCTATTAAAGGATAAAGATCCATACTAAATATAAACCACCCAGAGACACGGCTACCTACAAGTGACCAGGTTAGCTTTGCATGCCCGTTTTGTACTCAAAATTGTCTCTCAATTCCGTTCTGGCAACATCTTGCCTACGACCCTCCAGCTTCCCAATCCAACAAATCCTGAAGAGTCTCATCCTCCTCCGGATAACCTCGTCCCTACCTTACTTCACAACAGTCCCAGAAGCAACAATACAAGCGAACCCAACATCCCACCCCTTCCCCCCATACTTTCCCTCCAAATGCTCCTTAATCAACCCCTTCACCTCCTCCAGCCCATGCTCTCCCCTCAACTCCTCGCTCCACTCCGTGTTCACAATCAACGCAACAACAGGCCCAAACACATCCAACCAGTGCCGCGCATCCCTCACCTTCACCGTCCCGCTCTCCAAACACGTCTCGACGTCCTTGAACCCGTTGTCCTGTAGATAGCCACTGACCCAAGCCTCATCATACCACCGCCCAACATCGTGGACCTGCGCCCGGTTCTTCTCCTCGAACGGCGCGTCAAAGGGGAAGGATGCGAATGCTGACCTCACGTCCGCGACCCAGCCTATGTGATCGACGTGCGGCGTGATACAGCCGAAGACCCCGCCGGGTTTGAGGATCCTCACGACGTCTTTGATGGTCTTGTCTGGACGGGGGATAAGATGCAGACCGAGACCAATGACGACGTGCGTCAACGAATTCTCAGCCAGTCCGGAGTCCTGTCCCAAGAGCGCAACGCATCAGCACCAGCCAAAAACCACAGAGCAAGATATGGTAGATGGTAAGGTATGGAAAAGAGCAATCGAAACTCACAATGGCATCCAAAACCCTCGCCCTCGCCCCAACCCACCCCTCTTCCCGAATCCTCCTCTCCACCAAGCCAACCATCATAGGCGACCCATCCGCACAGAGAACATCACTCTTCTCCAGCACCTCTCTAGACACAGCCTTGTAAAGCTCCTGCGTAGCAGGACCAGCCCCGCACGCGCTGTCGAGAAAGGCAATGGGCTCCGTCGTGTGCTGGCCCAACCCCATCTGCTTCATGAGCCGCGCGTTGAGGGGCACCATCATCGTCCGGCTCATCTCAATCATGGTCTCTTCCCAGTGCGCGCCGATGGTCTTGTCCATGGAGCGGAAGATGGGTGCCACGGGGCCTGCGGAATGGGGAGCGGTGGTGGTCGTCATTGTTGCGCTGTTGTCTGAAGTAGCCGGGCAAGTCTCAGAAAGTCAGAGGATGTATAAATGCTCCGAATGACTAAGGCATGTAGGAGTAATAGAAAGCTGAACGGTTTGGTTGACCTCTAGTCGTCCAGACTGAAAGGAAGGCTGCCTGCTGATATAGGCTGAAATCTTGGAAATATCAGTCAGCATGATCTTACATGGTGTGGTGGGAATCAGGCCGGGGAAGTTTCCGATAAGTCGCCGGCAAGCTCAATCTCGCTCAATCTGGCTCAATCATCGCGACTTGAGTTGACGACCAAGAGCTCGACGATGAAATGTGCGCGTTGGATCATTGCTCATTCAGCTCTAAGGCGGATCAACGTGAGGGCGGGCGACACCCATATGCGGACCACGTTGCTCCATCTTACCACCAAGCCTCCTCCCCCTTCCACCCGAATTTCTCATAGTCATTTCCTCAAATCACAGTATCATAGCTAAGCCATAGTCGACGTCCGGCCTCTCAAGTGCTGGAAAAAGTGTTCATATAATAACACCAACTAGACATCCAAAGCCTAAGCCTAAGCCTACACCGCCTAACCAGCCGCGCCCCGGCCCAAAACCCCGTCCGCGTCAAATACAAGGTTTCTTTTCGCATCTTCTTTGTACACTTTCCGTGGCTCACTGTGAGAGCCCAAGTCCGTAGTTCAGTCTTTGTCTAGTTTTGTGTTTCTTCTCTCCACACGACCTTTTGAGAAAACTCCCATCCGCCGCCCCCATCACGCCAATAAAGTTCCAGACATTACAGGAAGCGCAAGCTTCCAGAGGGACCTCTCTCAACGAGGCCATCAACATCTCTCTTCACCGTCCGCAGACGTCTCCGCACTTCTGACAAGTCCATGCCACCCGGGTTCGACCCGTGGCCAGCAGGGGGGAGTGATGCCTCGCATCTGCTGAGCAGGTCCTTAACCCACGCACCAAGGGCACCATCGCCCTTCATCGAGGCAGCACCACGACGCTTGACCTCGCGTTGCCAAACATCAACAGAGAAAACAATGAGCTCAATGATGCGGTTGCGGTTGTTACCACTGAAGCCATAGTCTTGGGTATCAAAAACGCTCTCGAGAACGCGAGTGACCATGTCATTGGATACACCGAGGCTAAGGAAGAGCTGCACAGGCCAGGTGGGGTCCGCACCGATCTCAGCATCTTGATGGTATTCAACGGCATACCGACAGATCTCGGGAAGCAGGACGGGCACCGGGAAGATGAAGCTATCCAGAGAAGTACGGTGGGCGATGTTCTGCACCTTGACCGACACAGATTCGTAAGGTGAGGGCAGAACAGGGATGCCGGGACCAGCTTCCTCCATTCGCTCTACAGCCTCCTCGTGGATCTGCTCGATGAGGCTGACCCATGTTTGGGAGATTGTGCTGGGGTTGCGGTAATCGGCGCTGTGGTAGATGAGGAGGCAAAGATCATAGTAATTCGCCTGATCGGCATATTGGTTGAACAGCTGTTAAAGATTAGTCTCACTGAAAAGCTGATCATGTCACTGGGATACTCACGTCTGACAAGCTTATTACCTGGCCATCCAACGCTTCCTCGATTTGCGCCTTGCGATCAGGGTCAACGCGACTATCGGCCTTAAGCCTCTCCAACAAGTCATCCTGGATGTTGGCAATGTCGAGAAGCTCACTGACTTCGTGAGCTAGGACCTGCTGTTGTTGCCTGCCAACACCTGCCGTAGCAACGCTGGCATTCGCCTTGGCCTTGCTGAGAAGGATGATTCTGTCCTTGATACCAATGGCAAAGTCTGATTGGGCAAGATCATTTTGGACCTGAGCAGCCTCAAAATATCGCTCGCGTTGCGTGTAGAACCTGCAGAGAAGGTCGGCATGGTTCACATTGCTCCTCGCCAGACTCTGGAGGTATGTGATGACGTGTGGTGACTCGATAGCAAGAATTCTATCAGTCCATCCCTGCTCGATGTACCACTCGTAAAGGTCGAAGTGGAAGACCTCGTCGTCGGAGTCGTTCACTACACTGTAGGCCTCAAGGCGCTTTGTGCCCATCAAAGTCAGTCTACCGTCAATCGTCTCTGGCTCCCTGCTTGACGCGGCATCTAGGTGTTGAAGGGCCTCGTGAATGAGTTCGTAGCATTTCCTGCGCTCTGAGAAGGCGTTAGCCCGAGGGTCGTTAGCGGGCTTGCCATCATGGACCCATGACAGAGCGGTGTTGCCTCTATCCTTCTCACGGGCAACAGTGAGGCAGAGCTGGATTGCACCGGCGTAGTACTTCAGGTCGATGTACTGAGAGACGGCGTTGTGTAGGTTGGCAAAGGAAAGAGCACTAGCTACGCGCTCAAAGAGCCTCAAACTCTCATGTAGAAGCGCACGAGACTGGTTGCTGTTGGACGGCTGCTCAGACGCTCTCTTCAGCTGCTCCTGAGCCTTGAAGATGACAACATCATCGGGGCTGCAGAAACTGCCGCATCGTCTCCGAAGAGCATCCGCGACAGTCTCGACGTTGGAACCGCTCTCAATGTTGCGATTGACGATAGACTTGACCAACAGCTTGGCAAGATCCTTGCCTGAAGACTGTGAGAACAGGCTCTCGTACGTGAGACTTTTCAGTCCTTGCTGCGCTGTCGCATCAAGTCTCGTAAAGATGTCACTGACACGCTCATCGAAGAGCATCAAGACGAACGAGATGCCCTCGGAGATGCTCTCCATCAGTTTCTGAAGGGCATGCAGAGCTTGGTGCTCTGCCTGGAGGGCCACCTCCTCTTGCTTGCTGGCCACTCTTTGCAGGTCGGAAGGACCCGACAGGCCCTGAATGAAGCTCTTGTTTGCATCAAGGAATCTGCGGAGACGCTCCAGCTGCTCCTGAGTGGAGTGAAGCTTTGCGATGGGTACCATGGATTGAATCGCAACGCCGCCGGTAGGGCTAGCAGCAAGAGCGACCACGTGGTTCTTCCATAATGTGCGGATAAGGCGGGTGAGATAGACACTGAGAGCATCGTGCCTAGGGGACAGGCGAACGGAGGTTGTGTTGAGAGGGGTACCGTCGGCCTCCGTGATAGAGGGCTGGCCACCGTAGTCGACAAATACGGTCCTGGCGCGGTCTTCTGTGGCCTGATCGATCGCACGCGTCGCGCCTGGCCTAGCATCACCACCATGACCGCAAGCTACAGCAAGAGCGCAGGAGATGGTTTCCACGCGGCCATACCGAGAAATGAACTTTCGGGTCTCGAGCTCCAGACCCTCGTCTCCCACTGCACCACGAATGGCGGCAGCGAAAGTATCTACCAACCGGCGCCGGCGGATGATGTGAACACCAGTATTGGTCAGCACGGCAAACTCGGTGGCCGGCTGGTCGAACTGAACCGCAAGCTCGTTTCCAAAGCCAACGGGCTGGTTTGCTGCGGCGAACGGCTTGGTCACCAAACCGACATCTTCGGCTCTGCTTCCAATATCGATCCAGTTTCCGTGCTCATAGTATTTGAGCGCAGCGGAAGATGAGTTAGCCTTGATTCGGCCAGTCTCGGGAGCAGAAACGAAGAGAAGATCGATGTTCGGATCGTTGTCCTTAACGACGAAATCCAAAAAGTATCCTGGCGCAAATCGAGCTCCAAGCCTACTCAACTCTAGGGCCCTTGAGCCAAGATCGATAACCGCGTCACCAGCGCTGTTAGTGCCGGATCGTCCAGGTTTGTCCGACGGAGGGAACTTGATGAACTGGACCTGCATGCTCTGAGGGGGCGTATTCGAGGAAACGCCACCAATCATGTACGAGGCAGAGCTCGTGGCGCTAAGGAATAGACGGCAGCCGGTGTTGGTAAGAGCCATGAGGTGCAACTTCGACGCCTCTCTTGATGGAATGGCGCTGATGGCAACAAAGGCAGTTCGGTCGTTGAGGAGAGGGGACTGGGTAATCATGTGGGTGATGTCGCGTAGACAGGCGTTGCGCTCCTTTTCGATAACCTTGGTGAGCTTGTTAGGCCCGTCCATGTGGTATGTGCGAATGGTGGATCTAGTCGAAAGTGTGTAGACGAGCTTCCGGGAATCGTCAATAACAATGCTCTGAAGACCTTCCGGAGACTTTTGCGCCCAGAATCCGCTCTGGAGAGTGACGACTGAAGACCAGCCCGGGTTGGTGTGGTTAATCTTGCCGCATCTGTTGGAGAACCATTTCTCCTCCTGTTGGTAGTAAAGCTCGTGGATATCGGTGTCGTTGCTGCCTCCAAAGAAAATGCGGCCGTCTGCAGTGCCAGCGATAACTCTGACATCGGTGCCTCGGAGAGGGAGGTTAAGCTTGGTGCTATAAAGTGAAACGGTCTTGGTCCCCGATGGCGTGGTCTCGGCAGAAAGACCGAGGAGAATCATCTCGGACGATGTCGCAACGACTAGAATGTGCGTAATGGTGTTGACAAAAATGCCAGGCTTGGGTGCAACGAGAGCGACGGCGTGAATCGTGTGCGGTTGGTCCTCGAAGCCAATAAGTTCGGGATCCGGATGGGTGTAGTCCCATAGGAATAGCGAATTGTCGATGACCACCCAGGCATGGTTGATCTCGGCGAACAAGCCCATCAACGTCTGGAGCTGGCCGGTATTGTAGTGGCTGAAAACCTGGTTCGGGATCGGGTACATCTGGGTCTTGTGGAAGGGCGCCCAGGGCGAGTCGAGCGTGTTGAAGTCATAGTCTGACGATGCTCCTGCTATGTGGACGTCAGTAGCCGTCGCATGAAAGGTTAGATAAAGGCAAGAGCAGTGGACTTACGCCTGCAGTAGGAATCGAGCTCGGGGTAGTTCTCGTCGGACTGGAGGAATTGGTTGACCGCTTGTGCTGCTCTCGTGACGGGCGGGATGTTTTGCTGAGGAGCCGGAGCAGATGAGGTCGACACCAATCCTCCACTTGTGCTGGTTGATGCAATCGTAGCGGGTGCCAAATTTGATCCTGCCACCAGCGCGCCACTGTTGTTGCTTGAAGGTGCTTCGCCCTCCGCAAAGAGTCGTCGTCTAACCGGCTCGTTGTCGTTGGCGAATCTGGAGGCTGCGGGCGTGTTGAGGAAGGCGCCTGGCACCGGCCGCATCGGCGTCATCTGGGGGTAGGACATGTTGTCGTCGAGTAGTTCGATCGATCGGGACAGTGAAAGGCGGGCAAACGCGTCGCAAACTGGCGGCCAGCGAAGGCGGTTTGACGTCGCGCTACCGAATCATCAACAGGTGATGGCAGGTGTGATCCTGTCAATTGGAGGATTCGAGAAGTGAGAAATATTCTTCTAGGGGTATGCGATGCGGAGCGTTGCGCAGCTCGTGCCGGACAAAGGGAATGGAAAGAATTAGAGCTTTGATGGCTCGGTGTGGAAAGGTGAAGGTAATTCGAGCGAAGGCAGTAAAACGCAGCAGTAAACAATTTCTGGAGGAGCTCAAGAGGCTGGGGCCGCCAGACGCTTGGAATTTTCGCGCCTGGAGCCGCGCTAAGCCGAATTGGGACACAAGGCTGACCCTGACGTTTGCACCACTCAAAGCTTGCGCATGCAGTAGCTGCGAGCTTGAAGTACTAAACTCAGGTACCTTACTTTGGTTGATCTAAATCTCCTTCTTCTTGAATGGGTCTTCTTTATTTCATATTAAGTACTCGCTTTTTTATTCTATTCCATTTGAACCCCTGACTTTTCCCGGGCCGTGATCCCTACGTAACTCATGCAAATGGCCCCTACACCCTGAGCCCAAGGCACTGCCATCCACCTCTCATCCACATGTTCTTTTTTCATCCATGCTTCATATCTCACAAGAGATCACAACGAAGCTTGTTCAGGCGCTTCGTTTCGCCAGCATATCGAAACAGCATTCCGGCCAGCCTTGAAAGCAATAGCGTATTACACTGCGCGGTTCATCAACCACAACAGATGACACTTTCTGCTCCATTTACTGCTTCTTGGCCTCGCGAGCCGCCTTCCTGAGAGCACGGTTGCGAATGTCAACGTGCATCTTCAGGTTGAACCAAAGGGCCAGGTGGTGGGCGGCACCAATGGTGCTTTCCACAGCCCACAACATAAGAGCGTGCGTCCACCAAGGAGTGTAGGTGTAGGCGAAGTTCTGGTAGCTGCCAGAGCCAATCTTGCTGAGAGTGGCACGGACAAAGTTCTTGGGTGTCGGGATCATGGCGCTTGAGCGGCGGACCTTGCTCATCGCGGTGGTGATGAGGTAGCTGAGAACGAGCTCGACGTCGATACCCTGGGGCTTCAGCTCAGCCGCGAGAGAACTGCTCCAGTGCTGCAGGAAGGCTTTGCTGCCAGAGTAGGTGGCCAAGTAAGGGGTAGGCATCCAGCCAGCAAAGGAACCCATGGTGAGGATGAGACCGCGCTTGCGCTGCTGCATGATGGGAGCAACGACCTGGGTGGTCTTCAAGGTGCCGAGGCAGTTGATGGCGACAATGTTCTGGAGCTCGCTGCGGGCGGTCTCGAGGAAGGGAACGGGGATGCTGTGGCTCTGGCCGACGTTGTTGATGAGGACACCGACGTCGAGGCCGTTGACGAGCTGGGCGAGTCTATCGTAGTCGTTGTTGTCGTCGCGGGAGAAGTCCATGGCGAGGATCTTGACCTGAATCTTGCCATCGAACTTGGCCTCGAGCTCGTGGGCGAGGGTCTCGAGCTTGGACTGAGTTCGGGAGACGAGGACGAGGTTGAAGCCCTTGCTGGCGAGCTGATGGGCGAACTCCTTGCCGAGACCGTCTGATGCACCGGTCACGACGGCCCAGGTGCCAGGCTTGCCATACTTGCGAAGCTGTGCGACTTCGTTGTCAGTGTTTGGACATCAATGATAGGTGGGCGGGATGTTCGGGAGCACATACACTGGTGCCACTAAGCAGGAAGACACCAAGGACGAACTTGACATAGCTCAGGGCCTTGGAGGTAAGAAAGAGAGCACCAATACCAGCCAGCAAAAGCTGGACAGGCTGCGGCACATAGGCCAGTTGATCACCGATTCCGCCCATTGTGATGAGTCTTCACTGGTCTCGCGGAGTGAAGTCGAGAGTTTGCTGTTTGCTGAATGGAGGGGAAGAAGCTGTCCAGATCCTCCGTGGAATTCGCACAGCAGCACAGACAAAATGTTGGGATGGGCAAATGGTGGAAAATGCACTTCCAAAATCGCATCAGCCACTCCTCGGCACCTCCCTCAATTGTTGAACCCACACCAATCTGCCGGAGAGCTTTGGCCAGCTTTGATAAGCCAAGGCCAAGCCACAACGCGATAGCTACAGCCACATATCATTCTCTCCATCTTTTTTTTTTTCTTTTTTTCTTTTTTTGCCCTTTTGGGTTCAATCCGAATACGAAGGACCAGAAGCTTGGGGCAACTCGACGCTGAGCTAAGGAGATGCCGGCGTGATTGTCCACTCTTTTCCTTTGCGACTCGACTTTCTTCCTTTCTTAGTTCATACCACTCAGCGCCAATTGAGCTTCACGGGCCTTCAATCCAGCAATAATGGTGTCTCTCACGGATCTGCTCCCCCCAGCAAAGGGTATTCTACCCTACTACATGCTCCTGGTGAGATTTTCAAGAACGAACTGAACCCCCGCCAGAAGCATGTCACTAACCAGCAATACTCTCTCAGCTCTCTCTCATCTCCATCGGAAACTCGGCGCAGAACCTCCTGACTCTCCACTACTCACGCCGCCTCTACGACGGTAAATACGTTCGCAACACGAAGCTCGCTCCCAAGTCCGACAAGTTCAACCCGGAGGACTCGGTAAACAAGTACATCCCCGCTCCCGCCGGCGCGACGGACGTTGTGGATCAGGCGACACCTCTCGCTGCGCGCTGCTTCGGCACCTGGACGTTCCTCACGAGCATCGTCCGTCTGTATGCCGCGTATCATCTGCACCACGCCCACATGTACGACCTGGCCATCTGGACCTACGTTGTTGCGTTGGGCCACTTTGCCAGCGAGTTGTTCATCTTCAAGAGCATGACGTTCGGTCTGCCGCAATACTTCCCCTTCACCCTGGCCACCACTGCCTTGATTTGGATGCCATTGGTGCGCGACTTTTACGTTACTAGCCCATAGAGGGTTGATACTGTTGAAAACTAGCCTGCGGAAGCCGCTAGAGATTCGATCATTGGACGATAACTTGAACCACATGAAGGCATCCTGTGATCTCAGCTTCGGCGCAGAAATGGGACTTCAGAATCTCTTCAGTTAAAGCACGAAGTGACGAGAATAGATAAAGCTTAAAAATATTGTAATTACGAAGATGGTACTATTCATGTATGGTCTTTTTTCTGGTTCACTGAATGGTCTTGCGGTACAGCTCACCGCCGGTGCCTCTAAGTCGGGCGGCGGCCTGCTCCGGTGTGATATCACGTTGAGGCTCAGCCATCAGCTCGTACCCGACAAGGAACTTGCGGACGGTGGCTGAGCGAAGCAGAGGGGGGTAGAAGTGCATGTGGAGGTAGCTGTTCTCGGCCTCCTCCTCGGTGGCGTCGAGAGGTGCTTGGTGAATGCCAGAGCCTATCGAGTTGTCAGTGATCAGTTCGCCATTGCCTTACACAAGCTCAACTTACTGTAAGGGAAGTGCGTCTCAAAGAGGTTGTCGTATCTCCTTGCAACCTCCTGGATGGCCTCGGCAAACTGCAACCTCTCTTCAGCGGACAGGTCGACCAGCGCGCGAACATGTCTCTTGGGAAGAATCAAGACCTCAAAAGGCCAGACACCCCACCAGGGAACAACGACAAGGAAGTGCTCATTCTCAAACACTGTGCGCTCCTTCTTCTCAATCTCGACCTTGACGTAGTCCGCCAACAGGTGCCTTCCAGCGTGCTGATCACGGTACTTGCTCATCTGCACCAGCTCGGTACCAGGCTCCTCAGGCATGGTGGACGTTGTCCAGACCTGGCAATGCGGGTGCGGGTTCGAGCAGCCCATGGCGGCGCCCTTGTTCTCGAATATTTGCATGTAGCGCAGGTGGTGCTTGGGTTGGGGCACGGTGCTCGCGGGCGTCGCGGGGGGCAGCTCGAGGGCGGCGGCGACCTTGGACAGCGGGTTAGAGGGGGAGAGATGGGAGGCGTAGATTTGCGTCCAGACGTCGATGACGGGGGCGATCTCTGCCGTCGTCATGTCGGCGAGCGTGACGTGGTGCTTCTCGGAGAAGGTGAGCACGTAGCACTTGCCCGTGGCCGCTTCCGCGCGCAACAGGGACGAGGCGAGGTCTGCTCGAGTTGCAATGTCAGGGTTCGGTTCGCTTGAAGCTTGGGAATGGGTGTATGTTGCATACCATCGCTTTCTGGCTCTGGGTGGTACTCAGCCTGCTCCTCTTTGACGGCGCTGTAGTCGTTGACGAAGACGAAGGTGTTCTTGTAGTCGGGGTTGGAGTCACCAGCCGCCCTGGGGTTTCGAGGGCAGAGGTAGCACTTTGTCTAGTCAGCTCATGCTTGTTTACCCTATGCGACTCGATGAGAACATACCTTTGGGTCGTATTCAGGAAGCGTCGTCGTAGACGGTCCCTCCTGCTGGCCTCTGTCCACCTCAGCGCATGTCGCATTGCAAGTCAGGTTTGGCGCAATCTTACTGCCAGGGACGCTTGGTCCGGTGAGGAGATACCAGCAGCCATGTACCCTTCAACGGGTTGTACCGTCTATGGGAGATGTCGTCGAGGATCTTCTCAGGCATGGTGATGGTTTGCGTCTCCACGCTGTGGAACGTGTAAATGAAGGCGGGGAAGCTTTGCGACAACAAGTAACAAATCTGAGTGAGTACTGCCGCGAGACCGAGAGCAGGAAGTAAAAGGGCCAAGAAAAAAAGCCTTGAGTTTATTTAAACAATCTTGTTGTTGTTCAGACTAACTAAGTACGGACGAGAGAAAAATCCAGCCCTCGGCCGCGACCTGCCGAGTGACAGTCAGGCTAGGTATTAATAAGTAGGTGTAGAGCTGCCACAAAACAGCTCATCAAAAGTGACGGTCGTATCCCTGCCTCGAGAGGTTTCGCGCCCATGCCTGTCGGGTTTGTTGGAGAAAAGGAGGGGACCGCGAAGACTGCCCCGCGAACCCCACCATCGCAAAGCGCACCATTGTCGTGCGCCCATCGGTGCCATCTTATCCGCAGTAAGCAGCGGCGGGAAAGCGGCGGAAAGCTCGAACCTGCCTCGGCAGAGACGTCATTGTGGGACATTGCATCGGGAAACGGAAGACTTTGGTGAGCCAGAAGGGCAATTCTTCCCCTCAAGGCTTTGTTATTACATGTCGAATGAATATGCTGGAACCCATCTCATACCACGAGTGAGAGTTGGTCGAAGAGAAGCTAGCATTGTGGAAAGAGCTACTGTACTTCGTACTGCGGTACATGCCAAAAAGTGGTGTGCATGTCAAGAGACAGTCCGGGCATTGGTCCGTCGACCGAACCAAATGGCGGGGATGACGGAGCCGTCCAGCCCGAAAACAGCACTGGGGCATCGTGGCTTGATTCCAGAGTGTATTATGTAAGACATTATCGGGTGATTGCTTGTGGTGACTGTGGCTTGTGCGGCTGAAGTGACATAGGTCACAAGTCAGAAGCCCGAGCGCCGGATAGACTTCGGGAGAACCATCGCTCCAGGTTCCGCCATCGATCCCCGGATTCAATTCGATTGGAGCCTGGCTGTGTTTCGACGGCTCACCTTGGAAATCAATCCTCGTCAACACGCGCGCGTCTCGTCATCCGGAATCCATCGATATCATCGTCAAACCTCACATCTACATCGAGAACCACGTGCTAGTCACATCGCATCACTTATCGCTTCCCGTAGTCCCATCATATGCCTTCTACTGCATCACAATAACTCTCCCGTCGTCGGATCAGCCTGACCAGGGGCTGGCCTCCACGTCCCCACCGCAGCCCTGGACGAAATGGGCGTTATCAGAAAGAAGACCGTCACAAGGGGTGGCGAGGGCGGTGTCAAATATCATTGCGATATTTGCTCTGTAGACATCACCTCGACGGTATGTGTTTTGTTGACTTTGTTACTTTTGATGACGATGTGCCCCGCGTCGGCGCCCCGGCGCATACCCAAATGTCCCGCCCTCCACACCTTGCGCATCGCGCTAACAAACATCTGTTGTAACTGCAGGTCCGAATCAGATGCGCACACCCTGCCTGCAACGACTACGATCTTTGCGTCCAATGCTTCTCCCAGGGAAAGTCCAGTTCGAACCATAAACCCGAATCACATCCATACCGTGTCATCGAACAAAATTCTTTCCCAATCTTCGACCGAGATTGGGGTGCCGACGAAGAACTGCTGCTACTAGAAGGAGCAGAAATCTATGGCTTGGGATCATGGGCCGACATTGCCGACCACATTGGCGGCTTCCGTCACAAGGATGAGGTGCGAGATCATTACTACAAAGCCTACGTCGAATCTCCTCGTTTCCCGTTGCCGAAACGATGTAGTCCACATGACATGGACCTTGCGAACGAAATTTCTCGGGAAGACTTCCAAGCGAAGAAGAAGCGAAGGATAGAGGAGCGGAAGGAAGCCGCCAAGAACGCACCTACGCTGCAGCCCAAGACGAAGCCCACAGCCTCCGTACCGTCATGTCACGAGATTCAAGGATACATGCCAGGCCGCTTGGAGTTTGAGACGGAATACGCAAACGAAGCCGAAGAAGCTGTACAGCTCATGCAGTTTGATCCGGGCGATGGTCTCAACCCTAGGACAGGCGAGTTGGAGCCCGAGATGGAGCTTAAATTGACAGTGATGGACATCTACAACTGTCGTCTCACGCAGCGTGTGGACAGGAAAAAGGTTGTGTTTGAGCACAACCTGCTGGAATACCGCGAAAACACTAAGGTCGAGAAGAAGAGGAGCAAGGAAGAGAGGGACCTATTGAACAAGGCCAAACCTTTCGCTCGGATGATGAACCACGATGACTTTGAAAGTTTGTGCCAGGGTCTCATTGACGAGTTGAACTTGCGGCAAGCTATCTCGCAGCTGCAAGAATGGCGAGGCGTGCGGATCGGAGATTTACGCAGCGGAGAAAAGTACGAGACAGAAAAGTCACAACGAGCGCAAAAGGCAGTGCCTATGGGATCCATGGATAGAGACCGCTTGGCCTCGGCACAGCGGTCTAAGGCTGCTGCTGTACCAGATCCCCCAAGCGGCGCCGCCTTGCTCGTGGCCCCCGAATTGCCAATCCGGTCCGCGCCAGCTCCCGATGGTACTAATGGTACCATTCCTCCCAAGGAAGAGAGCAAACCTCAGACCAATGGCGCTGTCAACGGAGCAGCCGCCAATGGTACCGTCATTGTCGCCAACGGTACGGGCCCGTCTGGCCCTGTTACACGGCAGAAATACATGGCCGCGCCGCTACCCGGTGTTACCCCGATCCAGCTTACGCAAGACGGCGCGCCAGACTTGCATCTCCTCACGCCGGAGGAAGCGAAGCTCTGCGAAGTGGTACGGTTGCAGCCCAAGCCTTACCTAATGATCAAGGAGCAGATTCTCAAGGAGGCCTTGAAGAGCAATGGCACCCTCAAAAAGAAACAGGCCAAGGAGATATGCAGGCTAGACACGCAGAAGGGCGGCCGCATATTCGACTTCTTCATCAATGCTGGCTGGGTTGGCCGGGCGTAGGATGATTCGGACGGTTCAGATGATTCGGTTGATTCGGGTGTACCTATGGAATCTACGCACAGTGTGTGACTTGCATTCGACTTTGAGCTTCGGCGTTTCCGTCAAAAGGGGCGATGGAGGTACCGGTTTTTGGGAGCAGCGGTTAAGCTTCTCCAAGGTAGTTAAAGTGTACCAAGATACCAAATTCAAAATGGCAACAACTTGCTCAGTTTCTCCGCGCTGCATTATGAGATGTTATATCGCTACACATATCATTGATACATACGGTTTCCCTCTTGCTTGGCATTACATTTCACTCGGTCTGGACCTTGAAAGTGCGTTTATGGGATGAGGCACGTTCACGTTTTCTGTAACAGGGACAATCCCTCCAACAAGCTTGGTGGGTAAAGACCAGTCACGTACTCGGTGAGGCCTCAGCTTCTTCGCCCTCGCGGCTGGCATGGTGTTCCCAGTAACGAGTGAGTTCCTCCTTCGTTCTTGCGAAGCTGGTCTTTTCATCGAAGGCACCCCCGTCGTCACTATCTTGAACGAGATCGACAGGCCGGTCATCTTTGGTGCCAGTGGTTTAATGAGTCGGATGGTGGAGTCATAAGCTGGTTGGGCGTGTATAGGTTGTTTTTTCAGGGATTCCTCGGCAGGGAAAGTGAAGTAATGTGCGGTTGTTCCAAGGTCCTTCGGCGGCTTTTAACAACTCAGAATTCGAAGCTATTCATGCATATAATGACATGGCGACACGAGTATCTAGACGAGTCCAACACCATTGACTGCACGAACGCCCGCATCTAAGCGCGTCCAAATCTACAGGCAGGGAACAAGACTTTCGATACGAGTAAGCATACTCTAGAAGATGATCCAACTTTCTTGGAGGTTATGATTAGCAAATGAAAACTTAAGGACAGCATGGATCTCGAGACTCAGCAGCATCGTCTGAACGCCTTACAAGCGAGTGCGCTCTCCGCTAGAAGCACGCTGAACAAATATGAGCGATGATTGTCAAAGGAATCACGACGGATTGGCTGAGTATCTCACTCCTGAGCCCTCACAGCCCAAAGACAAAAAGGATTCAACTATTTTAATGTTGCAGACTGGGCTCTTATTGCCCTTGATGAGACTAAAATGCGAACCCAACGAGCTAATTTCAAAATCAAGTGTATCTGGGTTAAGGGACATGCTAGGCAACACGCCAGGAGGCTTCATGCATCCCTATGTTCATGATGGCACCCTCGCTTTGGATGGAGTAATGGCTTCGTCGGGGCTCTTCTGATTAGGAGATTTTGCATCGATAGTCGGTAAAGTCGGACGGACCCCCAGCTCACCGGGGGGCATCTTGAGGGGGGTGAAGTCAGTCATCCGGCAAAGCATGATGGTAGGCGAAGCAACGATCAAATAAGCGCAGGAGCATCTTCCAGCGAGTGATGTGTGATCGACGTCGAACAACGCAAGCCTTCCCGCCGCCGGGGAAGACTCAGAAGCGCTGGTCTTGGGCATGGCGAAGTTGTGCCTTGATACCAAGATCGCTGAGAGACTTCAGTTCGTTGGCTATGAACAAAGGAACAGGAGAATTTGAGTACATGGCTACTACATGTCAAAGTTTGAAAGATTTTGTGAAGAATTTCCCTCAACCAGAAATTCATCAGATCGAATATTACACAAAAGATTGGAAAGAAACCTTCCTTGCAGAACCCTAAGGTAGGAGACCGTGCTTCGTCTTTCTCCTGTTGGCGTTGTGTCAAGAGCAGGAAACCCTCTTGCTGTGCGGGTCGTGTTGGGTCTGTTCACCGGTTGGTTCCATTATGCATAGTTTTGATTGAACTCTGTGTCAAGGTCCTCGGTTCCCCCAGTCCATGTCTGTATGCCTCGCGTTGGATTTCAGCACGGCCGAATACAATCCTGTCAGTCAATGACGGGCCAGGTACTACACTTGAGCCGGGATCGGCATGTAGCAAACATCACAGATGAACAACTTATTGCATGTGAAAGGACTTTTGTTGAATTAACTAATTGGGTATAGGTACTCCCAGTGATTAATTATACAGTTGAAACCGAGAATGGTGAATGATTCAGGAGGCCGCCGCATAGGCAATTATTTCCCAGGGCTTTTCCAACACTTGGTTCTTCCCCGCCAAACCATCTCTCTAATCTCAGGTGGCCCTCAATGACACTCGAGAGGACTTTTGGGCGTTGCTTGAGTGAAGAACCCATTTACAGAACAATGGCGCCAACGATGCCGGCAGCAGCGGCGGCAGCAGCGACAAAGAGTCCAGTCTCGCGGGGAGCAGCAGCGGCGGCGGCAGCAGTGGTAGAAGCAGCGCTACCGGAAGCAGAAGCACCAGAAGCAGAGGCAGAAGAGCCGGAGCGAGAGGCGGTAGCAGAGGCGGAAGCCGAGCCGGAAGCCGAGCCGGAAGCCGTGCCCGTGGCGGTCGCAGCGGAGCCGGAGCCGGTGGCAGTAGCAGTGGCAGTAGCATCACCGCTGGTGAGGACGGCGAGGGCGGTAGAGCAGATCGCGCTGCCGTAGGCGTCCAGGGCGGACGCGACCTCCGGGACGTCGCTGCAGGCGGAGTAGATGTCACGGATCTCGGTGATGTGGGCGTCCTGCCAGGACTGGAGGGCGGAGGAGTAGGAGGTGATGATCTGGCCGGCCTGGCCCGTGATGGAGGGGAAAACGCAGGGGTCAGTGATCTGGGGGATGTCGAGGTTGGTCTCCGTGGCGAGGGCGGTGGGCTCGGTGGGGAAGTCGTCGACGATGGTGGAGTGTGCCATCCAGACGGAAGCGCAGGCGGTCTCGTCGCGGGCCTCAAGGGCGTCGTTGCCGGCGCGGCGGAGGACACGGGGGAGGGTGCCGGACATCTCGAATGCCATTGCGCCGGTGGCGGCGGCGGCAGCGAGGAGGAGCTTGGACTGCATTTTGGAAGGTGTTTGGAGTGTTGTCTTCGAGGGAAGCGAGAGTCTTAGGGTGTAAGGACTGTAGGTTGCCGTGATGTTGTCTTAAAGGATTGGCTGCTTGGGAAAGTTGGAGAGACAGGATACACTTGCAGTTGGATTCAAGAGCGGTCGTGGAGGAGAGGAGCGCATGCCTTTTATTAAAGATTGACGAGGAAGTCGGCCGTCACTTGCATCCTTCCTCTCTACCCTTGTCAGGTACATGAACATCCCTGCTCCATTCACGTCGCCCAGCATGCCCAGCAGCTTCCCATGCACCCACGCTCGCCCCGGAGAGCTGTGAATGATGTTGAGAACCACAGAACGATGGCTCTAGTCTATCCAGGTGTGCCACGACAAGACCTCTAGCGCAAGGTACCTACCCGTCAGCGGCCTCCAGCCGAGCCGCCGAGACAAGATGGTGGCTCAAGTGGCTACACTCGAGGTAGTCGTTCGCCCCATTGCCCCCCTGATACGGGCAGAAGCTGAGAGTCGTGAGTCGTGACTAGGTAGAGAGGTGGACCTTGGTACTGGTACCTACTAGCGGTTGCTGCCTGCAGAAGCCTGAAAGGGGGAGGAAATAGGATATTGGCGGCAGACATTTGTGATGCAATGATCGGCCAGTATCTGCCGTAGGCAATTCCTTCGTGGGAATATGATGCCGGGGGCGAGAATTGCACGGCGCGTAGCGTCCTTTCGAGGCGAAGCCGCGAAGCTAGGGAGAAAAGATTTAGTCCAACGGCAATGCGGCACGCCAAAAGGTAGCAGCGTCGCATTCCAATTCATCACATCAGATTCACTGTATCAATCATTCGCAGCCAAGAGGGGGAGATACTGGCTTGCTGCGATGAGGTTCAACACAGCTCATAGCTCTCGATGGAGCGAGCTTCGAGACTCTCGAAATGGACGGCGTCCTGCAGATATCCATCCGTACCTGAACTCGCGCTCTGCACGGCGGCACGCACGGTCACACGGGGGGATAGTTTTCGCGGCAGGGCATACCCTGTCCGTACCCGAAGGTGGGAGTTCCTAGCAGATTGCCTTTTGCAATATGCCAGGGATTCAAGGCTTTTCGTTGCTGGTCTGAGCTGAACATGCTAGGACAGGAAATCAACAATGGCGATCCGATATCTTTTTGCGTTTTTCTATCGTTTAGGGTCAAAAAGTCCCTTTCTCTGCCTTATTTACTCGCTTAAACATGGATGAGTATGGAACGCATGGGACGATTTGATGGATCATGGGTGCTGGACTTCTTCTCATGGATGATGGAGGTTCCATGTTAAGTGGTCCTGGGCTCGCCTGATCGTTTATGACCAATGAAGCTTCTAGGAACACTCCGAAGCCATTAAGATTGCGTGGGCCCAGCGATGGAGACTTTGAGATGGCTTGATGGAATGTGATTCGTTGTGGGACGTAAACAACAACGGGGAGGTTTCAAACTTTCAAAGGATTTGGCTCGGGTCTTTGCCATCCATGCATCGATTAACATGCTGTTGCTCTTACAAAGTACCGCTGATAGAGACTGTGCTTGACAGTTCCAACAGTCATAAAATCGGGAAACTTTGACAGTCTGTCGATCTCTTCTCGCTATGACAAGTTGGATGTGTTGGCCAGTTGAGTACCCAAGGGGCCAAGACAGCTTTCAGAACCACAAGCCCACAGAAGAATGTTGATTCCCCGCAAAAACACAAAGCTGTGCTCAGAGAGTCTGGGCCGAGGTCACGGCGAGATGTTTCCCCTCCTTTCTCCTTCTATTCTCATGTAATAGTCAGCATCCGTCACCCACAAGATTTGGTAAATGTATCACACTCCATCATTGAATTCTCGTCCGCTCCTTCATACGTGCAGACATAACGAACGCCGATAAACCGGTAGCCGTTGCCGCTGAGCCGCGATTCAAATTTCCCTTCTGCAGGGGACACACGCAGCTACCGTCTGCAATGACTGCACTGCATTGAGTGCTTGGCCACCTAATTACCATATAGCTAGCTACCTGCAGTAGTTTCTTTCTGTTGCTCTCTAGCCTCTTCCGACCCTGTTCGGGGCTGGATCCGGCACTGCCTCGCTACGTTGCATTCATGCGGTCGCTAGTGCTGACGGCGGCATCTCGGGCGCCCTCCTGTCGGCCAACCACGGCTGGCCCTTCACCCTTCTGACATGTCACCACGTTTAGAAGGTTTTCACCGTCTGCTCCTTTTTCTTGTTTGACGTTGCTAGTCAATCGCTGGGAAGTAGGTGATGACGGGTTGGGGGCTACGCGCGAATATTTCCCCGACACGCCCGACAGGGCGCGCCTGTTGACGTCGATCCCTTTGACGCTTGAGTCAAAAACAGTGGTGACAGTTGAACCAACAGTAGGATTCGTCGGTCTTGGCAATGAGGCTCGATCGCGAAGAACCACCTGCTAGACTGCTAGGAACTCGCCACTCACGAGCGGAAGAATTGGCGGAGAAGACTTCGGTATCGCTACTTTGTTTGGAATAGAGCTTCCAATAGTGCAGCCCTAAAGCCTTGTCAAAGTTTTCTTCAACGTCGGAGGGGCATGACATGCTGGGATCTCGAGATGTGATGCTGCAAACCCCTGAGGTGATCTCCGATATTGGCGGAGTTTGCCGAACACGCCGGACCATATCCGTACAGGCAAGACTGGATATTTTCAGGTGGGCATGAAGCACCATGAATAATATCTCATGCTGTAATCAAAATGATGATCACAGGTTGAAGGCTGCCCTGCTCCTCGTCTTTAGGGCTGTCTATATAGGCAGGTTGACGGGTCCCAGTAGGAAACACAATAGAATTCGAAAGGGGCTTGACAATTGTGCATATTCCCAATGCTCAGGTCGACGATTATGGCTGCCCCTTGGTTGGATTCCTTCTGCCTTGAACAGCATGCTTGAGACGTAATGAGTGTAGGTATATTCGGGGCTGGCTTATTACTGAAGGAAGTTGGTTTTCATGCGAAGGAGAGAATAAGGGCTCATGCAAAAAAATGCGAGAGTTACACAGCGTTCGTCATCATATGTCAATGGCCACTGACAGGAGTTTACGAAACAAGTGAATGCTTTCTTCTGGTACCAAATATACACATTTTGTCGTCAGCAAGTCCCCGCCGTTACCATTGCGGGCCGTGTAGTTTAAAGTTATGCTCAAAGACCAAGGCCGTCAGCCGGTGCTGACGCTGGCGTAAGCCACCTCCATCGGCCCTCCAGCCATTCGACGTCCGTCCCTCGGTAGGGCTGACATGCATCACGACGACAAGGCTCTATTCGACCGGACCACCGACCACCGTCATTTGGCGACACAGCAGCTCAGCCGTCATGTTGCTGACATTGGCATATGCAAACGGCACGTCACAGCACCTGCGCGGTATCTAATTCTGGTCTTGATATGTTGCTTAAGAAGAAGTGGATGCCCAGTTGCGGGGGACGAGACTTGAGCCTCCAACTTCAACCATCAATAGTCCATTATGAAGACATTTTCCAGCCTCGTAGTTGCCACATGCTGGCTGTTCGTGGCCTTAGCCCACGGCCACACAGTACTCTCCTATCCAGGATGGAGAGGCAACACCTTCATCACAAATGAGACGTACCCCTTCGGGATGCAATGGACCTACCCATGTACGTTACCAAACTCTCTTACGTCTTGCTACACAGACAAAAGACAAGAGCACGCATCTTTAGCTATCCAAAGGCTGATATGAACCCCTCCCCCCGCAGGTGGCGGCCTCGGCGTGACGCAAAACAGAACCCACTGGCCCATCAGCGGGGGCGCCCTCGCCGTCCAACCGGGCTGGAACTCGGGACACAAGACGGCGCTCATGTTCATCAACCTCGGCCTCGGCGAGTCGCCGAAGAACTACTCCATGGTCATGGTGCCCCGGTTCCAGCTGACGGGGCCCTCGAACCAGGAGTACGAGGGGACGTTCTGCCTCCCACAGGTGCCGCTGCCGGCTGGTGTGACGCCCAAGGAGGGCGATCTGGCGTCAATACAGGTCGTGGAGGCCGCACAGCATGGTGCGGCGTTGTTCAGCGTACGTTGTCTTACCAAGTGTTACCGTCTTTCCAAATATTTCATGTCTCGTGGAAGTGTGCAACGCTACTAGGAGGGGAAAGTGCGGGATGAGATCGCGTGGCTGACTGAAATAGTGTGTCGATATTATCTTTACGGAAGACGCGTCAAAGGTTACCCCAGTGACAGCGGATAATTGCTTCAACTCGACGAACCTCAAGGTTGAAGCGGCGACGCTCGAGACGAATTCTTCGCCCATTACTGACCCATCGGCCCCGGCGACCACGACAACTACTACACCGAGCGCGTCTCCAACTAGTGGAGCTCCTCGGCTGACGTCAAGCATTTTCGGTCTCTTAGCCATATTGTTGTTTGTTTGAAAGCTCTGGCAGTCGATGGTTTTTGAGGTAAACGCATGTTGCGGGATAAAAGTTGAAGTGCTGCAATATTGCTACCCTTTGTGTTCGTGGAAGAGGATTTTAGTAAATTGGGGTTATGATACGGAAGAATAAGATGGAGACTTTGAAAGGCGGAGCATATACTTTCATATCCTTCTCAGTCCACGATGTGCAGAAAACGTGTTGATTTCTTAGGCAAATCCATGAACTCGTGCTCCCCCACCATTAGACCTCGAAATGATTAGACCTCCCCATCTCGAGTCCACATGTCGACTGTGAACTTCTGTAGCCTGCAATCGCTTAACATTTGACCTGCCCTGAGACATCAGGCATCCCGATCCTCCCCGTGCCAGGGAATCTCAATCATGCGACCTCCATGTTCACCTCCATACCTCCCCACTCCATGACGCGGAACTTTCTCTGGTCCTCCATCCCGTCCACGTCGATGCCGACCATACTGGGCCAGTCCAAGTTCTCCAGTCTCGCACGATTATCTTCGTCCTTACCACCGACTACGCCTCTGAAGACGAGAAAGACTCTGGCGACGGTGCTAGGACTCGGAGTAACGGTCAATTTGGCCGCTTTCTCGAAATCAGTCTGCGGGATGAAGTTAAATGCGATCTGGAAGCCTCTGTCGCGGATTGACCGGAACCTGGGAAGCCAGTATATAATCATCTCGGTCCGCATCGCCGGGGTGAGGGTGAGGCTGGTGAGGGCCTGATCAAGGTAGGGTACGAAGTCGTCGAAGGAAAGGACGTAGTTGTTAGCAAAGTACGCGAGAGGATTCTGGGGGTTGAAGCCATGAGTCTCTGTGACCTTGGATGATGGATCGGCCAAGGCATCAGCTTCCCAGAACAGGTAGCTGCATTCGACGCCTGTGGCAGTATCATTCAGAGTACCATCCGGTTTGGCAGAAACCTGCCAAGAGACGTCGTTCTGACCAACAGCCCCCTTGACGAGTGGGTAGACGTTGGAAAAGCTCCAATGGTGAGATAGGTTGACCATGACACTGACGTTGTTAAGTTGGGTAGGCGACAATAGGTAGATTGCCGGTTTGCCACCTCTCAAACGGAGAACTAGATGAATAGTATCGTTCTCAATGACGGAGTAACTTCTCAACGTTCTTTTCGGCTCCATTTGATGACGACGGTAGATAAGTCTCTGTTGGTCAAGGGGAATGCCCTCTGCGGCCTCTACGGCAGATTTGAGGTCTGCGACGGTGGCAGCTGTCGAGATGCTCAACCGAACGGGTTTGCCAGTTACTTCAGTAACGCATCAGCTCGCCATCCGAAACTTTCTCATCCTTATACTCGAAAACTTACAAGTCATGACAATGACGTTCATGAGCCGCCGAGATGACCTGGCGATGTCACTGGGGCATGCTCGCTTCCGCTTGGGCGCTTCCTGGGATTCATCCTCGAGCTTAATGGTTGGAGCAGGCTTTGACTCCAAGCGAAGGACCCAACCGTCCTCGACCACTCTGTAGGCTGACTGATCAAGTTCAAACTCCAGTTCTCCAGACTTCGGAGTGCAATGAACGGTCAGGTTGATTGCTTTGCTGCCAAAGGCATTCCGAGCGTCATCCATGAGTTGGCGGTAGGTGTCTGGACGGGCGGTGAGACGACGACGGTCCCCAAAGACCATCATGATCAAGGGAGTTGGAGACATTATGAGGAACGATAACGATCTCTCAAGAGGTGGACTATGGGTATTTGTATTGGCGAAAATCAGGCTCCTGAATTCGGTCAGATCCGTAATTTGACTGTTGTTGGGGTGAGGTAGAGCAGAAAGCGGTTGACAGTTGTGAGAGTAAAGAGTATGACCGAGAAATGAACTTGGTTGGTGAGAGCTCAGTGAGATCTCAGTGAGAGATGAGCGCGGATCAATAGGTGAAAAGATTGATCGATCGAAAGAGTCGAGGCTGAGAAGGCGAGAGAGGAAGAGGTGGGAGTTGGAAATGGAAGATGCTGGTTGCTCCTGCCTGCTTCTGGGAATCTGCCAAAGGGAAGGAAGAAGACACCGTAATAAGTAACTTCCTATTCAAACGTGCCTCAAATTCAGCAAGCTGAATATGAAGATTGTGGCAGTGCTGACACGCCCGCTGGAGAAATATGAAAGGAATGGTGATGAGTACCAAAGAAGAATCAAATTGGTTGCTGTCTTTTGGCAAGAGAAGAAACTGTTCCGTCTAGGGCAACTGGTTTGGAAGATGTCATTTGAACAGCTTGACATTCAGGCTAGTGGTCCAACTTCTCCGGGATGGATCTCCAGTACTCGATGGCCTCCCTTCGGATATCGTCCCTCTCTAGCCATGTCTCATTCTTACTCACGTTCACCTGCCACCCCAGACCGTCTGAGCCTGGGTCAATGTACTTCTTCCACTCAGCGGCGCCTGTAGCTCTGAACTTATTCGGATCACCACTAACAACAAAGCTGGCGTAGAATCTAGATAGAATGGTCCCAGCTTGCGGGTATTGCGTATCCGGCTCGGCCCAGGCATACGGAACGTCAGAGCCATGCGAGATCCCGAGGTATGAGGCCACGCTGTTGTTGGTGTTCCAGTGCAGTTTCCATACGGGGATGTCTGCAGCAGACAGACGCGTCGCAATCTCCTGAGAGGCGCTGATGTAGGACGTATCGCCGTAAACCGCAGTCAGTCGGGTGAACTGAGCAGATTGGCCCCGCGAGTCTGCAAAAGGGCTTTCGGGGTCTGTCTCGGGATCCGGGTACAGACGGTAGAAGACCTCTCTATCGCTTTCGTTGAGTCCGGGGTAGAGATTGGAGAGCCAGCCCCATGCTTCATCGTCTGTGGTCAGGTTGGTGGGAGCATACAGACTGCCCTCGTCGGTGATGAACGAGGTCAGCGCCGGCAGGTGGTTCCATGTGTTAGAGTCCCAGGTTTCTGACGGAAGACGAGGAATGATAACAGCATCTGAGAAACAAGTTAGTCTCACCATATGTAATATCATTATCCCGCCCTGCAAGGCGGAGTCCTCGAGAAGAATGAGGAATACTCACCAGACACAGGTTGGAAAGGATGGGTGCCGTTGTATCGATACGCCGCCAGCAAAGCAGTCGCCGTCTCCTCAAGCACTTCAACATCCACAGCTCTCAAGCACGAAAGCAAATTCTCGGCAGTTTCATTACTCTGACAACCAACTCCGCTCACATACTGCTCAAACTGCCTGACCGTTAACGGGTCCGAAGCGCTGGGAAACGACCGTCCCGTTGGGCCTCCAGACTGGAAGATTGCCTGCTGAAACAGCTCTTCGCCAGGAGCGAAGGTATTCTGGTAGTGGAAGCCCACGGAGTGAGCGCCTGCTGACTTGCCCCCCAGAGTGACGCGTTCGGGGTCACCTCCAAATGCGGAGATGTACCGATGGACGAAGCGGAGAAGCTGGTGTTGATCCTGGAGACCGAGGTTGACGTTGCCGAGGTCTGAGAGGACGGGGTTTGCTAGGAAGCCCAGAGCGGCCAGCTAAGAAGTCCATATTAGTGAAAATCCTCAATTCTGGGAGACTGAGGATGGACATGCTCTGTAGTTGAACGTCACGACAATTAGTGGTTCTGGAGAGGAGGCAACGAGTGAAGCTCCGTCAAAGGTGATGCCAGCGCCGTTACGGAAAAGACCCTATGAACTCAATCAGTCGGCGATTCAAATTCGAACAAGTCATACAAAGGTCGGAGCGAGACTCACGCCATGAATCCAAACCAAAACGGGTAACTTCTCATCAGCGCTCACGCCCGTCGGCCTGTAGACATTGAGGTTAAGGCAGTCCTCGCCGTACTCCAGTGCGGTCGTGATAAACGTGACCAAGTTTGAGTTTCCAGGCTCTTGTATACAGACTTTGCCATACGAAGTGGCGTCCTTCGTTCCGTTCGAGGAAGAAGGCCAACCGACCGGAGCAAAACGAAGGTCGCTGATGGGTTGTTCTGCGTAGTCGATGCCATACCATACTTCCACCGGACTCGCGAGCGGGTAACCGGACGTGGTGTTATATAGAGTCTTTCCGATATGTGATCCGTACGATGGAATATGGACAACCAGAGAGCTGTTGCCAACGATTGGATTTCCTGATGCAGCAGCAAAAAGCAAGGCGCCAATGGCCCCAACCCTGAGCCAGGAACTGCCTTGAGTATGAGACGTAATCATGGCGACGAACAAGGACTAAATCACGGTTGAAAGACGGTGAGTTGAGTTCACTCTGAGAGTTGGAAAACCATTTCCAAGACCCCCTCTTCCACCATTTATATGAGGTTACATAGAGAGATAGAGCCGATTACTTGCCGGTGGTTTGACCCCTCTTGTCGTTGACATCCTTGTAAGTCCCACAACCAAGGTCGAAATCCCCGCCAGAAACTGATCGCGCAAGACCAGTCTAAATGACGAGACTTGCAAAGACATAAATTGTTAGCATTCTTTGAGTCGGTTTTCTTTGTGCTGCCTCTCATGTAGGCCGGAGTTATTTCAGATACAATGAATTTGCGATTTCCATTGGTCAATGCCCTTCATAACTCCCCAACTACCAGGTATTCGGTTGAACAATGAATGCATCATGAGTGATTTGATGCTGTAGATCTCCAGGAGCCCCTGTCTTTAAGATCTTGGCACTCAGGAACGATTCTCTCCAGCACGTCTATCGGCAGCTATCAATGATCCATGTCCAGAGCGATAGGCAGGCTTTCGGAGATAGCGAGCCGAAATCTGAAGGATCAAAAATGAAATCTGGACGTTGTTATCGCGGAGCCCAGACCCTCGTTATCAACATCTGTTCCCTCTATCTTGACATTTGGGGAAGCTTGAGGCAAAGTTGAGGAGTGGTGTTAAAGACCAAGAACGGCTGGACCCGCCGCGGCATCTGGGGACAATGCCGGCACCGGAGCTTCGTTTGCCTACCGCAGATGGGCAATGCATCAAATGACGTGGGTCAGGCCCGCGGATCTGGATACCTCATGAACTTCGCATAAATGCCCCGTAGAGCCGGTCATCCTATCAATCGCCTCGCGGGTTGCAGCGACACATACACAAGCTCAACATGACGGGACCTGTAACGATGACAGACGTTGTATCTCATTATTAATCGAAAGAAACCTCGTCTTCCCTCAGCTCCCTCTCAGTCGCCTTATGTATTTTGCGTGGATATTCATGTTGACCATCACGTCATAGCCTCACTAGTCTCTATACGCACCGCGACCAGCCAAATTTGCCTTACTCTCTATTCATCATAACCGGACACCCTCCTGACCTCTTACCATCAACAACATCAGTGTGCAATTTGCTTATGTCCTCCGCCGACAGCTGGACATCCTGTGCCACCGCCTCATCGAACCTCGCTTCCGGGCCGCGATTATCAGTCTTGGCCTCCTTCTTCACCACGCCATCCGGGGCAATCTGCCGGAACATCTGCAGCGAGTCGAACCATGTGTCCACGCCCTGCAGACGCAGCTGATCGTCCACACGCGCGATCGTCACACCTTCAATGTCGATCTGTCCACCGTGAGCCTTGGCGGTGACCTTGTCTCCTTTGCTGTAAACACGCCTTTTTGTCAGTCGCAGTTACACGGCCACAACCCGCACAAGTAGAAATGACAGATGTCTGCTAAATGAGGGTGGCAAAGCAGAAGCACCTTGAACAGAGAGGAGAAAGGAGCATACTCACTCGTTGAAGCCGACATAATCATTCTTCATGACACCCCAGTGACGCCACTTGAATGCGATGCACGGCGGGCCACTATAGACCTCAATGACCTCCCAGGCAAAAGTGGGCATCATGCGCTTGAATGTCTTGTGGCTGGACGCAAAATCTGAGTAGTCTGGGCTGTAGTACTCGTTGGGCGTAATGACGGCATTGTAAGTGCCGACCTTGAGCATGTGCTCGCCTGTCTGCGGCGCGCCGCCGTTCACGGAGAAGGTGTAATTGGCGTGGTCGACGGTCCTCCAGTCGTCGAGCTTCGTCTTGAAAGAGGCCTCGACCTCCCAGTTCTTCACCAGGTTCTCTACAATTTCTTCGAGACTGCCCGCCTTGTGGTTCATCTTCCTCCCTGGAGAAGTAGTGTTGTCAGTTTGAGTCCTCCCAGTACACCAGTTGGGTGCACGTATGGCACATTGAGAGTAATGGGATCATACCTTCTCTCCAGACTTTGCGCGTTTTCGTGTAATCTGGCGCCCTGCCGTATCTCCACTGCACACCCTCATCGCTGAAGACGGCGTTGGGTGTGGTGACATAATCCGGCAACACGTTTCTCTGCGCCGCTGCGGCCTGCGGCGTGGGGTCCTGAGCGTTTACAAGAACCATGTTTGGCGAAGAAAAGACTTTCGGCGTTAAGGAGTTTCGAAAAGAGTGAGACGAAAGAGGCTTGTTGGCTCTTTAATAAGTTCTTGGAGAAATCTGCCACGGGGGGGCGTTTGTTGTCGCACGCAAGTCGGTGGTGAAATATGTCTTAGATGCGCGTGGATGAGAGGAGAGACACGGGGCGTTATACAAGTCCTCTTTTCTTTTCCTCTCCCCTCCAAAGAGTGGTGGCAATAATCCTTCAACCACGGCCTTTCCCTGAAACGGAAATCGCAGCGGGATGAGGAGAAGGAAGAAAAGGCGTATCACTCGAGGCACTCAAAATAACCTTCCAGTCTGCGCCGCAGGATCGGGTGGGAAGTTTTCTGCAACGCG